AATTTCCATACTTTTCCATACCCTACCTTTTAGAATTATTTTAATTTATTGGAAATACCTAATTTTCTATTTTAGAAAACAGTGGTAAAAGTCTGGAAACATAACTGGTCCGTGTATTATCCGTCCAAAAAATGAAAAGTAGATTTATTATTTTGTTTTCGTTTCCATCTCTATTATATAAATTCTGTTTTGAACTGAAAATACGAAAACAAACACTAATATTTTACTTTTTGGTGATATAGAAAAACCAAAAAGTAAAATATTGACCCGTTTTTTTGTTTTTCTTTTACTAGATTGAATGGATGGATGATAAACGGACCATAAATATTTTTCCATACTTTATTCTCCATTTTCCGTACTTTTTAAAGACCTGAAAACTGATCAAATTTATTTCCATACTTGCGTAGGAATCCTGCTTTATGGTTTTTGCTTTGAAACCACTTTGTGTGTTCAGTCGCTTGTTTTTAAGTGATTTTTTTCCCCATGCAGAGAGTTCCACTACAGAGTCATGTCAGTTTTTGAAGACAGGGCCAACCAGGGGGTGATCTGGTGTAGGATTCAAGCCTTGAGAGATGAACTGTTTGCTCACACAGTCTCTCACAGAGTAGTAATCCTTTTCTTAGTTTCACTTCTGCGAGACTCGGCCTCTTTAAATTATTAGATTTTTTCCTCCTGGTGTTTTTTTCATCGCCAAACAAAACTTTTTCAGCGTTTTGTTGTCCCTGCTCCAACTTTTAATCAAATTTCAAACTAGCGTTTATTCTCCCAGTTTCAACATTTACTCGGTTTACTTTGCGTTATTTTTGGACACAGGGTTTAGCTCATTTGCGAACCACCAAATTGTGGTTTTTTTATCAGCAGTTTTCCCGGCGTCCTAACATCCCCGGAGTTCAGGTTGCACATTCCACGGTTTACTTCTTGTTGTATTTTTTGAGTGTGTTGTCTTACATCGGGCTTTGTTGCCGTGTTTACATATCAAAGTCCCTCCAGCTCCATGTCAAAGACAAACACAGTTCTGGTGCATTGCTGGAAACGAGAGTCAGGTGACGGGTAAAATAAGTACTTCAAAATAAGTAGTTAGTGGACCCTGGATCGGACAAAAATGCATCTCTTTTTTTAGTTGTGAACAAGTGTTCAAAGACGAGTTTTAGAATAATCCGGTCTTGTTTTTCTATTTAGGTGTTATGATTAGATCGATGCTTGCAAACGTTGTCATGTAATAATCCAGACGTCTGCAGAGATTCTTGTTATCTACAAAGCAAAATGAGAAAAAAAAGAAACATTTCTAGGCAATGGTTTGCTTCAAAGCATGGCTCATCTGGGTTTTTGATACAATGTGATGCCAATGGTCATGTATTTTACTAAAAAAAAAAAATAGTAACGTCTTAATAAACCGAATGCAATGCTCAATATTCAGCAATACTGTGTATAAAAACAGGACTTCACTGGGGAGATTCGGGTTTCCCAGGGAGGCGAAACAACAGGCCAGCTCTATTTTTCACTCTCCATCCTCACGCTACAAACACAGCTCCTAACCCTGACTCAGTTCTCGCACACTTTAAGGGAAAAAACAAAACAAAAAAAGGGTTTGTCTGTAAGCGAGGCATTCCCAGTGCTGGATTTGATCCCGGTTCAGTTGCTTTCTCAGTATCCAAATGGCAGCTCCCTCATGCAGTCTTGTTCAACTTTTGTCTTACAGATTTGAGAAAGATGTCCAATTTAAGCAGATGCCTCCCGCCGAGATAGCAAAGCATGAAGGGAAAGCTCGGCGGCGTTTGCATAATCCTTGGACCGAGGCTTAAGACAGCACTAGTGAGAGAGAGAGCGAGACAGACAGACAGACAGACAGAAGAGAGAGAGATCGTGAGGTATGAAGTAATATGTACAGTTTGCAATGCAGAGTTTAGTTTCTATCAACAATCCATTATAATCCATGGCAAGGTATTAGTTTCTAACTTTGGACCTAGTACAGAGACTGAACTCTTCTTCTTCTTCTTATGTGGCAGTAATGTTGTTGTTCCTTGATATCTTCTCTGTACTGATGATTTTGGAATAGCAGCAAACTTCTCTCAGAGGACTTGACATTGGCTCCAGAGTGAACGACATATTACTCTGTTTGTGAAACCTTGACTCCCCTCCTCCTCCTCCTAATTGGATTTGTTTGAAAAATTGCGTACTGTGGTGTTTTTTTTTTTCTTTCTTTTCTTTTCTTTATTTTTCTCTTCTCCTGATTTCATATAGCCTACTTTTTCTAATCATGAATGTAAAGATGTGTGGATTTTTATATAGCATAATAATTTAGGTGTCAAACAGAATCTGTAATTTTGTCAAAAAGATCAGCTATATTTGTAAGCTGTAATATGTAAAAACGAGAAAAAAATGGTTATCAAACAGAATGTGTTGGTTTATTATAGTATATATATATACTGTACACTGAAAAAGAGAGACTATCTCAAGCTGTTTGCCAAATAAAAAAGTAGTAGTGATGTAAACGTTGGGGTTATTATTTTTGTGTTTATCCGACTTGTTGAACCGCTGCAGACACCCCGGACAGTCACAATGTTTATTTATGATCCTGATATCAAGACTGTGAGTTCATGACAGCGACCTTTTAACCTTCCTCCTGTGTTAGCTTTCACTACGCACCCACTATGTCAAGAGTCGGTTTCGACTGGTGTCTTAAATCAGCTGTAAATTACACCAAAAACAATTCTCTATCATCCAATTTAGTTCTCATCTCTTAGTTACCTTGTTCGGCTTCATATTCCATGAAAATATTGATTATAATATATTTTTTGTGGTCCTCTGGGCCTTTCTTTGTCAGTATACCCCTCACACAGACATCTATACTGAATTGATCTCACATGTCTGGACATGCATGTTGTTGTTTTTTGTGCAGAGAAAAACAGGCAAAATGAGAATTTCCTAAATCTCACATGATCGAAGAGGATCTGACTGTCAGTGTGGTGCCTGTCAGTGCACTTATGATTTCAGTTTTTGCTCTAATTATTAAATATTAATCTAACCGGGTCAACAGCGACCCAAACACGACAAGTGTCATAATCTTAATAAGAGCATTTTATAATTTAGTCAATTTTTTTTTATTTTGTTGATCTAGTTTCCTGATTAAGTCCAAAAGTCTTGATGCAGAAAAGCTAATTTAAGTGGTTCTTTTAAGCATTTAAAGACAAAAACGGGTCAGAGCCGACCTTAACACAGGAGGAGGGTTAATCCAGTCGTCCAACAAAGGACAGATGAAGAAGAAGCGGCAGCAGCAGCTAGAGAGCTAGCTGTAGCAGCCCTGACAACATGTAGCGGTTGTGTCACTCGTGAATTGAACGTTAACACTCTCCAACTTTTGTTTAAACTTCTTTAACTTGAATTCAGGTGCACGATCTACCTGTAGTACAAAATTTCAAAATAAAAGCATAACTTTAAAATGCGCGAAATTAAATAACCTAGATGCAAATTAAAAGCATGAAAAACAATCATAATACATGTTCAAAAAAATGAAAATGTTGAGTTGAAACTGGACTTTTAAATGACTAAAATTGCGTCATGTCGTGCCTCTCAGAGTTGGACTAACATACCCAAGTAATGGGAACAAAGATCAAGTTTTCTTTTGCGTATAAATCAGCCCAAAACTTACAAATTGGGCCTCCACCTGGAAAATTGTCTGTATTTTCATTGCTCAACATAAATCCTCTCAGCCTTTTGCTAACACGGTTGTTTATTGTTTGATATGTGCTGCAACAGGTCAGCTGGGGATAGCTGTGTAGTTTGTGAACACCTAGCATAGCAGAGCGGGTCAACAAATCAATTCTTTCTTGGTGTTTATAATCTGGTACTGTGGCTAAAGTCCAAATAAATCAGATAATCCTACTAGAACTGTCTCAACCTTTGAGATCTGAAGACAGTAGAAACACATGACTCCCATTCTCAGGGACTGTCAGTGATTACTAACCTCTAATGAATCAAAAGCATGAGGGATATCATGAAACTGCAGAGAGTTCGTGCTCACAAGAGGAGAAACCCTTTACAATTTAGTGACCCCCAGGCGCCACCTTGAGGAAGAACTGCAGATTACAACCTGAACTCACACATAATTCAAATCCAGTAATACTAGACGGCTCTTTTAATTTACAGTAGACACATGCTGTTAGGTCTTATGGCCCTGACACATGGACCTTAGTAACTACATTTCATGTGGTTTAACATCCTCAATCTTACAAATCTGACATTTTTATGCTGCTCTCTTGTCCTTACTCCTCCTGTGCAGAGATACAAGCTGCTTCTCTCCTCCTTCATTCACTTGTGTCTTTTCCTTGCGTCCTAGCTCCTTCCAAAAGGACTAAAAGGAGACATACAAAGGATAGACCTGAAACTAAGAAGAGCTGAAACTACAACAGGGCAAGTCTTTGGTTCATTAAAGTCAAGAAAACCTTTTCAAATATATCTCAGTGATAAACAAATAAAAAGAGAAATATAAATCATTCAAATAAAGTTATCTGTTGAAGATAGATTAAAAGTAGAATTTTTGTTGTTAAAGGCACTGTGAGAAGTTTTGATCTGGTTAAGAAACAAAAACTGAAACTAACTGCAATATCCACCACATCCAGAGAGAGGCGCCATAACAAATACAAACCTAAAGTTCCTTACAGTAGCTTTAATAAAGTGTTTGGCTGACACCTCCCCCCTCATGCTGCTTTCAGGCACTAAAATATCCTCTATAAATGTCGTAAACCTCACTGTTGGTGGTATTGTTTGCTTTTGAATATCATGATGAGGCATCAGTGTGAATTTGAGTTTATTTCAGACACATGAAAAACTCCTCACAGGAGCTTTAACCTCTTTGTTTTTGTTGTTGAGGACAGTTATAAAGCTAACACACACTGGTTGTTGTCTTTTACTTTGTCCTCATGTGGTTCAACTTTCCATCGTAATCCCGCTAAGACTCACGTTTGTTTCAGAGGTTTAACTCCTAAATCCAACAATCCTCCATACTGACGGATTGTGCAAGATGGCGGACACGGAGCGACTTCCGGCGGAGAGGAGGCAGGAGGAGTGAGGAGGAAGCAGCTGTAGAGAGGAGGGTTGAGATGTTTTCCTGGAGGCTGGCTGCTCCTCTCTGCAGCCCCAAACACGTGTGGCTCTTCAGTCGGTCCCTGAACATGGCAGAGGAGGCGAAGAAACTGGCTGCTTACGCCGCTGTGGATAACCACGTCCAGGTATGGAGGATTCTTACTCTGACTGTCACTGTTAGCTGCCTGTTTACAGCCTGTTTACTGCCTGATTTTTATTGTTTATTAAATCAGCTGAGTTAAAACACACAGTTAAACACACCAGTCCTTCCTCTTAGCCGAATGCTAGCAGAGTTAGCCGGTGAACTCGCAGCATTATGGAGGGAATTAACTCAGTGTTATGTATGCATGTCTGTAAATAGTGTGTGCATGTGCAGCATTAAGAGCTAAAAAAGCTAACCCTGTGTAAGAGACTGTTTTAGATTCTAACACGAGTGTCTGTGGAGTTTGAACTGAGGGACAAACAGAGAATAAAGCACGCAGAAACAAGCTGGAAAAGGAGATTATACTGGTTTATACTGTAATGTGCTACATAATTCATAATAAACTATAAGTAGGGTTGCAAAATTCCTGAAACTTTCCCTGGGAATAAACAGGAATAAATGTGACATTTACAAAACTGAAAAAATAAAATAAAACACATCTACATATAAAACAGTTCAGGAGGTAAAAAGCATTCAAAACGATTTGGAAGGTAAAAAGAAAAGCAATTGTCAGTCATACCAGTATTTTTTTACATGAACAGAGTGCATAAAATGCAGAAACAAAGTGCAATGTGCGGTTTGTGTACCAACAAAAGATGAAGCTTGATCTAGAATAATAATACTAGTAATAATAATGATAGTAGTAGTATAGTAATATACACCATCTAATATCATGAACAGTTATCTCCACCTGCAGGAATCATTTAGTTCTCTGATAGAACCTGGGAAGAAGGAATTTTTATACCTGGGTTAATGACGTATAAGGTTTTAAAACATGCCAATCTTAAAATAGAAAAAGTAAGAATATATTTTGCAAAAGTTCAAACACTGAGGATGTTGTTTATACAAAAATTAATGTATAACTATATTTCTGTTAATGCCATTGCATTAGTGTTTTTACAAGCTTTTTTGTTATTTTATTTTACAGTTCCCAATTTGGAATATTTCCAAAATTCCCATAGAAAGTTACTGGAAAATTTCCGGAAATTTACCGCGCCTTTGCAACCCGAACTACAAGTCTTTTATGTTTACCAGAAGGCGTTTAGTTAACTCAATCAGCTTTAAACATCCCAGTTTGTTAAACCCACATAAAGATGATCATAATGATAATAGTGCAGCTTTTAAATCCCAAATTAGCACATAAAGAAACATGCTTTTGCAGTCATGTTAGTGTCTTTGAAGCAGTTTCCCCCCAGGGATTATTAAAGTATTTCTGATTCTGATCATCTTCTTCATCATTTCTGCCTGTCACAGAATAACCAGGTGGTCGGCGTGGGCAGTGGATCGACCATCGTGTACGCCGTGGACAGATTAGGTGAGTCGGTATAATCCAGATTCAACATGCTGTAGAAGTTTGAGATGTAAGGAGATGTTCACACAGTTGAATTGTCTGTTTCTGTCGTTTCTTTCAGCTGAGAGAGTACGTCAGGAGAAACTCAACATCGTCTGTGTGCCAACTTCCTTCCAGGTTGGTTTGACTCTGTTTTGACTTCCTTGTTGTCCAGCATGTTATGTAAATTACACGTTGTGGTGCTGCAGTTTGTAAAGTTTCAAATGTTGACAAAAAGTTAGAACTTTTTGGCTCCAAATGTTGCTTTTCTGTCTCATAATCTACGAATTATCAGCCAATATCAGTCGACCTTTTCACGGCTGTAACAGAGAGTTCAGCAGCAGACTGTGGTGCAACACTGTGGCTGATTTCCCCAAACTCTGGAGCCCTTTTTTAAACACATGATGACACTTATTCAACATGATAGTTTGATGCGCTCCTTAGATTTTTCCTCTGCCTCTCACATTTCCCCCTTTATCCCCCCACAGGCTCGTCAGCTGATCCTGCAGCACGGCCTCACACTGTCGGATCTGGACAGGCACCCTGAGGTATGATGCGCTCCTTTACAAATGAATCTGAAAGCCTCTGAAATGAGGAAGAACCCCCGTCTCAAACCTTGTCAGCTTGATTTTAATACACCGCTCCAGCTGTAAAAGACAGAAAACCCATACATGAGAAAAGCTGTGTTTTTTTTACAACGTTGGTGTCATTGCTGAGATGTTTGTCCTTCCCGCACACAGCTTGACGTAGCAATAGACGGCGCCGATGAGGTGGACGGAGAGCTCACGCTGATTAAAGGTGGAGGGTGAGTATCTCTGAACCCACACAGCAGACGTGAAGTCGTCTCCTCTCCTCGTGTTTTCTCTCTCTCACTCGTCCTTTTCTCCGTCTCACAGAGGATGCCTGACTCAGGAGAAGATCGTCGCCGGCTGTGCGAAACATTTCGTCGTCATCGCTGACTACAGGTCCGAACTCTCTGTTTGAACGTTATTGAATTTTAGAAACTCGAGGGAGATTGAAAACATGTTTTTGTAGCTGTTAAAAGAAAACAGTTTTAATCAGCTTGAAGTAAAATATGATGATGTGAAGCTTGTTTGCTTCAGGAGTCTGCAGGATTTGTTTAGATTGCATTTTTTAGGATCAGCTCTGAAGTTTAATCTGCATCCAAATGTTTTTCCTCAACTCCTCTACAAATTTAAAGAGACACAGCCTTTTATTTAAACTCCATCTTCTCCTCTCTCCTTCAGAAAAGACTCCAAAAATCTGGGCCAGCAGTGGAAGAAGGGAGTACCCATTGAGGTGATCCCCATGGCGTACGTCCCCGTGTCCAGAATTATCGCCAAACGCTTCGGAGGGGAGGCCAACCTACGGATGGCTGTCAGTAAAGCAGTAAGTGCAATAAACACTGTCACAGGATCAATATGGATGATTTAGATTTGATTTGACTTTTATTTTTGTGTCATGTTTATACGGTATTCACGGCCCGAAACACAGAAAAACTAGAGACCACCGCAGACGTGTGAAAGTTTTGAAACCATCAGAACTTGTTCAGATTGATTCAACTTGGGAAGGTTTTACTATTTTAACATCGCGCAACTCAAAAATCCACGACAGCCGTCTGAGGAACTGTTGAACACGTCAGTTAGAGCTCGAGGAAACACGCCGGGGCTTCTGGGAGTTAAACTGAAAACAAACATGATTTGTTTGCTCTCTAGAAAACTCCTCAGGGCTTTAGAAAGATATACGGTTAACCACATCCATGTAGTGGGTTCTCTTTATGTTGTTTACATTGTCGCTTTGACTGTTGAGCCTGAAGACTGTTAGTGTGCAAACGATCAGACCGGTTTGTCTCCTAGAAAGTCTGAATAAGAGAATTAAAACTTTTGGAAAGTTCAAGAAAAGATGCAGAAAGAAAAAAAAAAGTGAAAAATATACGAGGGAAACGAGAGGAGGGAGGATTATATCCATGAGTGAGAGATTAACGTTAAATTCAAGTGGTCTTGGTGCATGATGGCGCTGTAGATCTGACCTTCAGCGGTAACTTTGAACGTAACGCAGCACTGATTTTAGGAGGTCTGAGTCCTGTTTGTGTCGCTCTCAGGGTCCCGTGGTCACCGACAACAGCAACTTCATCCTGGACTGGAAGTTTGAGCACGCTCAGAACTGGAAGGAAGTCAACACGGCAATCAAGATGATTCCAGGTGAGAAACACGAAGGCTAAGGGGGCGGGGTCTAAGTAGAGGTGTAGTCTCACCTTCCTGGAGAACTTGAAAAGAACTCTGGGAACTGTTGGTTTTGTTTGGGTCAGAACCAAACTCTAAAGGGTAAAATCCCTAAAACTGTGTTTCCTTTTGTCCGTCTGTTGTCCTCAGGCGTGGTGGAGACGGGGCTTTTCGTCGGCATGGCTGAACGAGCGTACTTCGGCATGGAGGACGGGACCGTGAAGATGAGGGATCCTTCTGTGAACTGACCGATCGATCATCACCCCTCCTCTTCCTCCTCTTCTCGATCGACCTCACTGTTCCCGCAAGTGCCGTCTCTCTGATTTGCACCCGCTCTCAGACTGCAGACCTGGACTCTCTCTCTCTCTCTTGACTTTCCTCATCCTGCATGTCGGTGCTTCTGATCCTGTGAGTTTTAAAGTGCCTGATGAGGAGAATCAAGAGCGTCCGACTCTGATACGTTTATTTTTTCGAATCACTTTGAATCGTCGCTCGGTTCGGCTGCCTGGTCTCACTGGGAGTGTCGGCTCTTCCTGTAATTAACGGATTAGACTGAATGTGGTTTTTCAATCACTGCGGTGCTGCTCAATGAAACGAAGGTGTGCCTTCAGATTTGTTTTAGTCTTTTTACACTAAAGTTCTGTTTTAAAATCCTCGTAACCGTCCATCGTGTTATTTTCATCTGCTGGGCTGAGAGCGCTGATTTGCCTTGAAGTCTTTTTGTTTAATTAGACCAGAAAAAGGGGAGTAATCTGCGTAAAGACGGCATAAAGAAGTTTTTAATTTTTCTAATTAATATGCTAATTCAAACAGCGAGAAGTCCCCAGAAATTAATGAGATCCCTGACAATCGGAGGAAACCCTGTGGTGCAGGTGTGAAGCTCGGAGACGACATGAAACACTGATAATCCAGAGTTACCATGTGTGCTGGATGGAGGTTAGCTGTGATTAATCTGACCTGAATTAACTCAAAGATACACGGTGAGATCAGCACCTCCGTTTTCACAGTGTGGCTTCACCTTTGACACCACAGCGTAGCTTCGATCGTGTTCGCTGTCACCTCTGCACACCGAGGGACAATCTAACAAACCATTCAGCTGTCCTCGATTACAAACGGACTCCCTCTTAATGAATTTGCACTAGTTGGTCGTGTGCTTTTCAGGGTTTGAATCTGGAGCTTTTTATTCGTTTTATTTCCTTTTTAGAATAAATAGAAGAGACCAAATCTAACTCTCTGCAGCTGTTTCGTTCAGACATGTCATAGCTTTTTTCTCGTCTCTGTCACATCATCCGGTTACCTCAGCGATGTCTGTGTGGAAATCGTTTTAATTATCAGTCAGCAGAGGTGAGCTAACACAAAAACAACAACCTCTGATCGCATGCATGTTCCTCTGTCTGCTGTGCTGCTTCATTGTGTGCCTGTAAATGACATGCATGACGGTCTTTCATTACTCACATGAGCAAACCCATAGTCATGTGCCATTTGGATTCCTGCTGTAAAAGATGTGCGGAATATTTTGATGTAATGATGGGCACTCAATAGTAGCTCAAATCTGAACCAGTTTATTTTTGTGCCTTTTCATGCCAAAGCAATATAATCAAACCTTTAAAAATCAGATGTAGCCGAATCTGTGTATTATGTAGCTCAAAATAAAATCATCGTAGACACTTTAGACAAACTGTACAGTGCAGTTTCACATTTAAACCCCATTAGAGATCTGAATAAACATGTTTTTGTTTGCACAAAATTCAAGGTACCATAACTTTCACCCCATGATGTTGTTTTTTTAAATTGTGATTCCTGTTTTTTGCCTGTTTGACTGATTTTTTTTCTTTTTTAACTCAGCTAAGAATGCCTTAAAGACGGTTTGATTTGACATCTTTTATCATTTTGTACAGCTATGAGGGACTCAGGAGAACATGAAGGCTTGAAAAAGTAGTCCACAAACTACTGTTACACGGTACACTAAATGTAGACGTTTACCGAACTGTGGATGTTTGACTCAGTTCAGGTCTCGTGTCGGCTGTTCACCATGTTTGATCATTTTTTCACCAGCATTTCTTTCCCTCTTCTCTCTTGTTACCAGTGGACTGTGATATAATTTTACTGTGAAGGTACCATCGTCTCTGGTCAAACAATAAAGGACCAAAATAACAGAGTGATGTCTTTGTTTTTCTGATGAACTTTTTGTCTCTAAGTTGTCGTGGAGGGGGACTTCTGAAACTTGATACTCAGGCAGTGAATCAATAGTGATTATCAATAATGCTTCTGCAGCAGTTTTGACTACTAGGTTACTTTGTGCAGATTTCATCTTTGCAAATGCTCACATTTATTCATCACCTTAATATTATTCTGCATTGTTGATTTCAGTAAAGTATAAACTCATTTCTTTTATATTTTATGGTAATTCTTTTGTAGTGGATACTGGGGTGATCCAAAATATTTTTTTATATTATTCATTGCAACATCCGGAGTAATTACAACAATCATGGGAGTAAACTTGGAAGAAAATGAGTTAATTTGAACTGTTTCATTCTGACAGTTTCCAACTTTGGACACTTTGATTAATGCTCAGGAGATACTCGGTTAAAACAAACAAGAACACAGACTCCTCTGAAGGAATGAAAATGATTGTACGATTACAGAGCGAAGGGTACTTTTGTCTCTCTTCAACACGTGCAACCTAATCTAGGTCTTACATCAGTTTTTAGTCACACAAGCTAAACCTGTTTCAGTCGGTAGAAGACATTTGAAACCAGAGTTTCAGAATTTTACCAAACATAATAGTCCTCAAACTGAGTCAAACCACTTCTAGTTGTCTGAAACTAAACTCGACACTTTGTGTTTCTATTTTCTTATCAACTGAGAGCTCAAAGTCTGAGATTTCAGCCTCAATCCTGAGCACATTTTTCTTTGCTCTGGTCAAATTCCTGTCGCATGCCAAACCGTGAACTCCACATGAAAACGCACAAAGGTGGAGCAGATGTCCTCCATGAAGGACAACAGAAAAAGTACACGGTTAGGGGGTTAAACTTTGAGTTTCAAAAGTTAGTTAATAGTTTTTCTAATCCAAAACAGTTTAATAACAACAAAGGTTTAAGAAACATACTAGAGACTTAAGTCCACCACAGAGGAGGAGAAATGAATCACTGGGTCCCAGGAGGATAAATCTAAGTTTAAGATGTTGATTGTGTGCCAAAAAAAATGCTGAATGTTGCTTTTTTTAAGCACAAGTTCAGGATCAATAAATTATTTAGCAGAATGATGCCTGAATTTGTTGATAATGGAAATCAAAACAATGTAACTGAGATTTTCTATGAGTTATTAAGTAAAAACATGCTCTAAATGTTATGTAAAAGACCAGTAAAGGTATTTCCAAACTGAAATCTACAGCTGATGGTGCAGTTCTCCTGTGGAGCCACTTGGAGGCGCCAGAAATACAAACATCCGGCTGAAAAAGGTTCATTTAAACTCCAGTGAAACGTCTTTAAACAGCAAATCATCTCTATCTTTTAGAGGTATATTTAACACACAGTGCGCTGGTGATCTTTGAGCTGCTAATGACTCATCTGGGACTTTTAAAGTAGCTGTAATGTCATTTATACTCATGAATAAAAACATTAAAACGAATCTTTAACAGGCTATTTGTGTCTGATACGGGTTTAAATTCACCTTTAGATAAAAATAAATGTTCCTTTGCGTTCATACTGTTTCCTAGACTTCTTATGTCATGGCATTATGTCATGGTCAACCTCTGTTTGTTTACCCCAAACTCAGAAAACTCGTGATCAGGAACAGGAACTGTACCCATCATTTACAGTGGAGCCACGTTGGTGCTTTCACATCGACTGTCTTGACAACTACTAATGAGTGACAGCTTACTCACCCAATCAAATGCTTACTTGGAATCAGCAAATGCGAAAAACGGCCAATAGCGTCGCTCCTTATCAGCGCCCTCTCTCATTGGCCAGCCGACGACACATCCCACCAATCATATATCAGCGACAGGATTCGCCATCGGGGACTTTTTTGCGTCACCCTTCGCTATCGTTGTTTGCCAGCCGCCACTGCGCCTGCGTCGTTTTGACATACATTCGATTAGCCAATGGGGTTCACTGTTTGGGGGGCTGGAACGTTCTCCACCCGCCCCCTAGAGTGACAGATATCCGATACAATCACATTCTGCTTAGTGTGCGAGTGCACATGATTGACAGGAGAATGCCCAATCAGGAGCAGTTAAATTACTTTTTGAGGAGTTAACCGATTCGACTGTCCAATCGTAGAGTAGAAACAAGGCGGGACTTCGCGTTACCAAGGCAAGACTTGAGTGAAGTATAAAGAGAATAACATGGTGTCCCAGTGGCTGTTTATGTTTACTTAAAGAAGAGATTTGTAAGGGCGTTTTGCAAGGCACAACGGACTTTTTCTTTAAAGCTGCAGAGTTTTTGTTGCACTTTACGTTTTTTTATGTTGAGATTTACACGGCCATTGGCATGTAAATCTTTTATTTCACTAATGTGCCAGTCTTACAAATGGAAAGGGGGCTTCACTTTGGCATTTCCCTCGTGCTCCTGCTGTTGCTGAAAGCCCTCATCGGAATCGGGACCTCGCAAACTCAGGGCTCCGCTGTCGGGAGGGAGCCGCTGTCCGCCACCCGGGGTTCAGGTTCGACCTCGGGGGAAGATGGTGCAAGAGTCATGGAACAGGGCTTGGAGAACCTAGGCGCCCCGGTCATTTACGCAGACGTTACGGTGGAGGACGACGAGAACGGGTCCACCGCAGAAGCCGACGAACCTTATGGAGAAAGTAACGGAAACGTCCACTCAACGAGGTAAATAAATCAAGGAAATATAACGGACAGGTAACAGTTAGACAGCATTTATCGGGCTCTTGAAATGTGACTTAGATGTAAAAGTCAAAATGTGGTCAAAAAGTTAAAAACAACATGTATGTAAACCGTTAATTCAGTTCGGCTTCAGTTTTAACGGTCAGTTTCAAATCTTCCAACATCCAGTCTCGCGCTCTTGGTCGCGTGCGGTATATATCCCTCCGCCCCAGCGCTTCACTCAAAAAAACTCGTGTTTTTAGTGATTTGCGCGCTTCTACTTTCGTTATAAGCTTTTTTACTCGACTAGATTCATAAAATGGGACTATTTAACAAACAAAGCAGTGCTAGTTGGATGTCAAAGCCCCAAACTTTAAAACTACGTCGATAAACTGCAAAGTTTCTACGTGCAGTTTGACGCAACTCTTTTGGTAAAGGTTGGAAACGTGACTAACAACAATTTCCATCATTTTCTCATCTTGTTTTGTTGAAAGTCACTTTTTCGAAGCAGTCCGTGGCATGTCAGGGCTTAACACGCCCAGGCTCATTGACGAGAAAGTTTAGGGGGTGAGTCCTCATGTGCAGATGGTCTTTTCGCTTGTTTATAAAGTTTTTTAAAAGGGAATCTGGGGCATGTCATGAATGGACATGTCTTGGTCATGAAATGGTTTTGTTGGATATATGATGTGCATGAACGCCAGACTCATGTCAGAGTCAGTATGAGACATTCTTTACTTATTCAGGTGGAAAATGTAGGTTTTGCAGGTGCACCTTGACAGAAAATGAGTCTGAAAGTGTCTAAAATATGTGGAAGTATGTAAGCCATACATAGAGACAAGACTTGAATGAAATAAGATTAAAGGCACAGATATATTTCAGCATAGATATGCGCTTCCAATAATGCTGTTAAACTGAATCTGTGAAATTATGTCCTGCAGCTTATCCAGCTACCTGTGCAGCTGAATCGTACATTTGGTTCAAAGTGATAAATATACATCAGAAGTGTGATTCGAGGACCAGCATCTTCCCTGTTTTGTTGCTGGTGTTTCTTATCAGATTTGAACACTCTTACGCTTTAACTGATGAGTTAATTTATTTCCCACTTACTATCACCAGAATCACATTAAATCAAATGAAGCATTCCTAACCGCTTAAAAACACAGATACCGTCTTCATGGCTTATCTCTTTGTGGCGGCAGATAGGCGTAGCTGAGGAAAGTTAACTTCATATAAAGTAGGAGTCTGTTTATTTAATTAACCACAGTTAAGTTTGCAGGGGAAGGGAGTGATAATGTTTGGAGTTAAAAGCTGTGACAAAGTGGCCCCAGAGCAGAGGAATAACAGTGTTTGGCTTTGTGCTGTTTTGACTGCTGGGATCTGATGTTGTTTGAGAAATTGAGTTTGGAAAGTTGGTTCATTTTGTGTGAAATTAAGACAAAGTTAGGGAGATTGTGTTTTCCTTGCACATAAAGTGACAAAGTTAAGATGAGCCAAAGTCAAAAATCCAGTTTGTGCTCTGCTGTTGCACCAGAAATACCAATCAGACATAGCAGGTGCAGTTTTGACTGTATGACAGAAAGGAAATGCTCACAAAGTTTACTCTTCAGAGTCCACAGGTTTACAGACCCTCCTGCTGCCCAAACTCAGATGCAGTTCTTGGTGCAGTGGGTAGGGCATTGATTTTGTCTTCCTTGGTAAACAGTAGCTTTGACGCCCACCTTAAACGCTTGGCGCAGTGTGTTCCACATGATGTTACCTCTCCCTGCCATGCTGTTTTTTTTTTTTACACCAACACTATCACTGATACCTCGGCTGTGGAGCAGCAGCCTCTCGTGGCTTTCTCGGTGTTGAAGCACATCAGGTCAATCACTCAGCTATTCTCTGTGTAGTTTTATAAATGAGCTGTCTGCTTTTCAGGAGAGAGTTGGATCAAAGTCGGTCGAAAACACTGTGAGAGTCGAAGCTAATGGAGTTGGATACAGTTTGTTACTCGAATCCTCAAACTTGCCGTGACTGTATCTACTTCCTGTAAAATTGCAGTTTCTGTTCGGTGTAGAGGCACATAGAAAACCCTTCTGACAAACCAAAACAAAAGTCAGCTATGTCATGTCTTCATTTTGACTTTGAGTTTTATTTGTTCTGCTTAGGAAAGATGTGTGCACCAGCAAGGGCAAAAACAACTTATCTGGATTCATATGATAGCCAAATAACTTTGCTGAAAGGGGAAAACACTGTCATCAGACCCGATAAGGCTTCTTCCACTTGTCATCTTCGGTACTATAGTGAAAGGAAATCGAAAGTAATTAGTAGGAGAGTTTGCTCCGGCAGAATTGGTCTATTCCCTCGCCTGGCACCCCGGCTGCTGCTGCAGGAAAAACTCCTGAGTGACATCCTGCTGCTGGTCACACCCTGCCGCTGCTCCTTTTTCTGCGTCTGTATCTGTTCCTACACAGAGTCTGTCTCAGGCTCTCTCTCTCTCTCTCTGTTGGTTTAATTTCCTCTCTAACTTTATCACAGTCGGTATCTCTCACTTTCTCTTTTTCTCCTCTCGGGAAATTTCTCTCATATTAACACTTAACTTGTCACCACTTATTGGCTTTGAGTCATCTTCTATATATCACTTTATTTGTAATTTGTGGAGAATATTCTCTCTGCACTGGACCTTTTTTTTCTGTCTTTGTGATTTATTACATTCAAAATATTCAAGAAATGAAGTTGAATTATTAAACACAAATAAGAGCATTTTTATACAAGACTAATAACACTGAAGAGTTGTACGAGTGCCACTTTTTTAGTCACGTTTGAACGCAATAACAAGCCGTGAAACTGACAAGTTGAAGTCAGTAATGAAAGGGAATTAACAAAGTAGCCTGTGAGGCATATACAGCGAGAATGAACAGGTGAATAATTCATTAAAGAGCCTGTCAGAAAGACAAGAACATATGTACAACATGACAGATGAAGTGAGAAAATAATGAAGTTGTGAAAAGAGTCTCCAGATGTCAAAACACAGCGAGCCCCACAATGACACCCTGTCTCTGAGTCTTTGTTGAGGTCTCTCCTTCTCTTATCCTCCACCCCCCACCTATCATAAGCTTGCCTCTTCCCCAACGCTCTCCCTTACCTTCACACACATGTTACTTTTAATGTCACCCCTTGTGTATAAACCCTGCTCCATCTCTGTTTCCATCCATCTGTCAGGAGAATTGGGGTTGAACTTTGAGAGTGTCACTGGAGATGAGACATGATTTAAGCGTTTCCCTGAAGATTGTCCAATTTAAACAGACATGACTTCCTTATTGTCTGAAGGCAAACTTGCAGCAGAAGCTAAAACGTCTGTGAGATAGAGAATGTCAAAGCTGTCAGTCTGTCACATTTCCCCCTCACCTACTGTGACCAGAGCACCTCCTCACTGTCCGTTTATGTCACCAGATCTTTGACAGAAACTTATAATTAAGTCAAAACACACCATCTTCTTCTTCTGTGTGTGACTCTGTGCGACATGTTGTCAACAAACACCCCTAAACTGCAGGGAAACTTTTCATCTGTCATTTCCTTTTGACTCGATTTACGCCGCAGTTGAGACCACATGCTGCCGTAAAGGCGAGTGTAGGTGACCCAGTTTGTGTTTTCCCCAAGAGAAGAGATTCCCTAATACTGCATGCTTTTGTTTTGCTTTATTTCCTGCATGCTTTTATTATGAAAATGTGTTATCATTACTTATGCTAGGTCGTAAGTTATGACACTGGATGGAATAGTGAAAAGAAAAAGTTGTTCAACGTGTCAGCAGCCTCTCTGAGTTTACAGTAAGCTTTGAACATCAGTCTGAAAAGTGTCGGCTACCTGATCACATCCTTCGTCCTACCTCTGCTTTATGGCTTGTTGCAATCATCATAATGAACCACAACCCCCCCCCCCCCCCCCTCCTCCCCCAACAATAACTAACTATGTACACAATATTATGAGTTTATTCTGAGCACATTATTAGTATTTGATTTTCTTTAAAAGATAGTGTGACCTTAGACCTCACACAGAAGGAGAAAGGAGGAAACTTTTAACACTTTCTTGGAAGTCATCGCCCCGTCTTCCAGCTCTCTCTCTCTCTGTATTCAAGCTTCTTGTCGCCTCTCTCTGTGACCTTTCAGAGTTTTACCTGCAGCTGCTGATGTTGTTCCAACTCAAACAGACCAGGTCCTGTGACCTGCCACCCTGTGACAATATTAACCCACCCTTTGACGCAGGAAAACACTTTATAGAAGGGATGATTAATGCCAAGTTGCCACACTGAATGATCCACTCATCCCACTCATGAAGGATCGTTGTATCTCTGACAGTATCATTACTCTCCCAGCCTGCATCCCTCCAGTAAAGCCCTTTTGTTTTCTTAAAAATGAGATTTTGGAGGGAAAATTTCAAACACACGCTCTTGAAAACATTTCACGCGGACAGCTCGTTGAAAAGTCTACGCTCAGATGTCAACGTTTTTAAGTTCCTGTCAGTCGCAGTTGTTTTTTCCTTTCCCGCTCTCGCCGCCGCCGCCCCCTTTTCGCTGTCATCTATAAATATTCTAGATGTTCTCTTTGATCCAGAATCAGATTGAGACGAGAGCTGCTCTCATACCGGCTGACGGCTGTCACCTCACCTTTATACTGCCTTCTATACGTTACAAGCCCCACTCTTGAGACTTGCTGTTTACACCTGTCTTAGTGCATGTTTATGCATGTGTGTGCGTGCGCGCGTAAATCATGCATGTGACGCCGCTGCCAAGTTTGATGCCGCCAGCGAGCGCTCCTGCGGGGCCTCCAGCACCTGTGGGAGCACTTGGAGGTGAGAGGAGAGAGGACAGCAGCTTTGTTTGAACTTGCTACCCCCGCCGCCACCCTACCCCCTACCCTCTGTGCCTCCACCCCCCCACCCTTTGCACTCCACACACCCCCCTCAGGGCCGTGTAGCAGCAACAGCTCTTCTGGGCCGACATGCTCGCCGGCTGGCTCTCACCAGCCTACTGCTTAGCAACAGCCAATCGGCCAAGCTGGGTGACTTGTCGGCCAATTGCGTCGGAGAGAAGGGCTAGTGTTCAGAATTTGAGTCCGCCGCATGGGTCTGGCTATAGTTAGGTAGAGGAGAAGATATTTTTTTTCCTTTTTTTGACAGGGAAGAGTTCATTTCCTAGTTGTTTTTTCCTCACTTTGTTTCAGTCTCTTCTCGCTGTAACCAGGGAGATGTGGTGGGTTTTATTAATAGAAACGGTCCCCAAAATAACAGGTCAACATGAAGAGGATCGAACTCCCACTGGGAAGTTTAATCCAGCACTTCAAACTCACTTCTTGAAACTCGGGTCCTTTTGTCGAGCTGGAGTTTTACAGTGGAGAGGTCTAGAAGAGCCGCACAACCCAGTAACCCTTCACATGAGCTTATATAATCTCTTTTAACCTGTTTTATCCTCTTTGTCCTCTTCTTATATAAGTGTTTTTTTTTCTTCCTGTCTGGTTCCATTTTTTATTAATATTAATCTGAATTGAATGTGCGCAGAAGTTGACTGTAAACTGAGCAGTACCTGTTGTTGTTGTTGTTGAGACATGATGACCTTTAGTGACTTTCTCAGCTCTTGATGAAGACCGTGTGCCTCATCAAAGTGCAGATGCGGCTCATTTATGGAGCGTTAGTTTCATAACTGTATGTGTGTAGTGACAGAAATAGTAACCAGCTCTTCATTAAGAGGATGCTAAACAACACTGGCTGTGAATATAATTACCAAGAGAAGTGAATTTATTAGGTCAGTGGCTATTTTGGTAAGCCGGCAGGACCCATCCTGCAGCACTGCAGTATGGGTGGGGCAGAGGCAGAAAGGTGGGCTGCTCAGAGGGAGGGAGGGAGGGGGGAGAGAAGGATGAAAACAAGGAGTTAGCTGCTAGTTAGTAGGACCACGCTGTCTTGTTTTCACTCTCGATGGCTGTTCACTGCTTAGCAACAACGAATCAGATCCGCGGATCAGAGCTGCGGACCGACCAATCGGCGGGCAGGCAGGAGCGTGGCGCCATAGAGTTTGGATTTAACCACGTGTGAGAGGATAGGAGTTGGAGAGGGGAGCGCAGTTATGCAGGAGAGAGAGAGAAAGAGAGAGAGAGGGGGTGATGGCAGCACTGTTAGACGCTGTTTGCTAGTACTAGAAGTTTTTTTTTTTTTCCACAACCACACCCTTTGCTCTGCTGCAGTGACCCTGTTGGATGTCAGGTTGATTTTTTTCCTTTAATGCGGGTCTGTCACACATGAATCATGGAGCACTCCTCAGCTCTTGTGCCAAAGCAGCAAAAACGATCACTTGTTGTTTTTCGAACAGATAAAGAGGACAGTTATATAAACCTTCAAGTCACATTAAGCTGCATTTAAGTGCTGCTGTTATGTCAGCTGTTATTATTAATGTCTCTTTGGACTCTCAGTGTGACTCCACGGCCATGTTTCATCTTATTATTTCTGTTTCTTTACATTTGACATTGTTAGTCATGTTTGCAGAGAAAAAGGCATGGTTCAGTCTTAAATATCCTGCACTGAATTAAGGGAGTAATACAACTGAAGACTCTTAAAGGTACATTTTTAAAGTTTCTCTATTACAGTTTGTTTTTTTTCTTTATTTTGTTTTTGATAGACCTGGACCTTACTCTAACTCTAACCATTTATTCTAAAAAGATAACCTTTATTAACTGTTTGTAATGTTGGCCTCGTCTTTCAGAAGTACTCCTGTTTAAAGGAATGCACTCTGCTCTGGTGCAGCTGGTGGTGGTGGTGGTGCTGGGTGCGGCCGGCTCAGAAGAGCTGCAACCATAACTTTCTCCCCACGTGCTCCCCATGCTCTCATATTTTTGTTCTGCCTCTCGGTGGCTGCTGACTGGCAGCTGCGCGGCAGCAGAACTCCACACTCTAGCGTGCATCCAGGCTGCTCGCTGTTGCATGGTTACAGGCTCCTCTGCCCCACTATTGGCTCAAAGTCTGCAGAGCTTCCCGTGCATTGGCTAGCCCAGGAGAAAAACACCGCTCCCATTGGCTGTGGAGAAGTTGCAGACTGCTTCCATTGGCCGCGGCTCTGCGGCTCTCGCTCCTCGGAGAATCTGCCTGTGTAAACATCCTGCTCGATTCTTTCAATGGAGAGTGTTTACCAGCAGCAGCAGCTTGGTTTTTGCCGGTGTGTGCAGACTGAGGCTGAGCGTCTCTGAGGAGAAGTGAGTCTGGTGAGAGGGAGGATAATTGGCTCCCTGCTCCGCCATACGCTTTGTGATTGAAGAAGCACCCTGCACTATTATGACACTTTGACAGCATTACAGGCGGGGACGCTAACAACCCTCGGTCTGCTGGCAGCCTCACAGCTCACTCTTTTTCTCCTCCTTTATACTCCACACTCCAACGTCTTCTTCATCGTCTCCCTCGCATCTGTCACTGAAGCTCCAGCCCCACAGGCTGCGTGTTATCCCTTCGGTGACAAGCTCAGCGGCGGAGTCTGGGGCTCAGACATGGGAAATAAATTGCCCAGAGTTGTAAATGATACAGTAGGGCTGTTTGTTTTGTTTCAGTTGTTTTTATTGTTGACTTTAGAGCTATTTTTGTAGCTCCCCTCTCTCCTCCGCTCATTCTCTCCATTACCATCAGGCTATCAGAGTTGTAGAGTTAAATCCCCCCTCCCTCCCGACTCCTTCTTTATCTGGAGTACAAAGAGTCACAAAAGCCTTTGATCCTCCTCTCAGAATCAAATTCTTCTATCTCTTCTATCTCAACCTCCTCTCTCATCTCTGAAGTTGAACTCGATGCTCTCCCAGACTTCTTCCACTTCTACATTCACAGCATGACTTGGAAGAGGGGGCGGGTCCAGCCCGACGAAGACCGCCAAAGCTTCCACCCTCTCAGAGAGCCGACTGCTTAGCAACAACCAATCAGCCTAATATTTTTGGCAGGGTCTCACAGCCAATCAAGAGGGTGAGAGAAGGGTTTTAGCACTCTGTTGTTATTGGCGGCTGAGTGGAAAAACAATGTTTTTCTTAGTACTCTACACTTGAGCGCTCGTGGCGAGGCTGGTAATGCTGAGAGCAGATTTGGGGAGATAATCTTGGCTTTGATGGGGCTGAAAGACACATGGCTCATTACTGTTAAGCGATCTTATTTGCATTTTTATGCAATCTCGCAGCTTTAGTTGAGCAGAAACAAATAGCTGTGTCCAGAACAGGACGTGTAACTCCCTGCGAACGTGTGAAACATGAGAGAAAACCTTCCTAAAATTGATTTGCACCCTCTGGAACAATCCATTTCTTCGTTATCCTAAAGCTTTTACATCCCTGAACACGCTCCGACTCCCTCTTGAGTGAAGTGTTCGATATGTGAATCAATAAGGGATTATAGCTAGTCAGTGGCAATTCACCTGCTCAGTCTGAATGATGGATATTGCAGGTGATGCCGGTAAGTAACACAAAGCTTAGCTGACAGTTAGATAATGACAAGTTCTCATTCTTCCTGAGCTTGGGAAACTAACAAGTATCAAACTCTCCTCTTCCCTCTGCAACTGCTGTCTAGTTGCCCTCGAGGGAGACATGCCCCAGCAGCCAGCGGAGGGAAGCTCTTTGGCCCCAGCTGTGTGGATGTGAGGCGGAGGATGCTCAGAGACAGCGTATGAGCTCAGCCGACCCTCGCAGGTTAAATGAAGTTAAAAGCTCCGTCGACAGCGGCGTCTTCCTTCGACTGATACAAATCAATAGTCAGGAGGTGGCCACTGCCAGAGCGAACTCGTGATTGACAGGCAATGCGGCAAAACCCCTCAAGTTAGCTGAGGGCGGGGCTTGGATGTGTCCATTAATTCCAGTCAGTCACTGTTTTTTGCCTGGAGTTACCAGACAAGAGAGAAAAAAGTTAAGATAACTCTGTGTGCACTTGGATTTGAAAAGATTTGTACTCTACTACTGATGGAGGAAAACCTTCAGCACCACCATCCATCATGGCGATACTTAAAAAAACTTTTCTCAGGGGAGAAGCTCTCAGGCGCAGTGAGAATCCCTCCCCTATACATCATCTCAGGAATAACACTTTACACACCAGTGTCTTATTTTTGGCTGCACTCTGTCTCTGCCAACGGTGCATCTCAATGGATTAAGAAAATTCATCAACGACTTTTTACAAAGACGCTTTAAAGTATTTAAATATTTTTACGCCTGGTAGATTTTTCCACAACCAGTAAGCTACAGTTAGAGCCCGATTCTGTGTCCTAATTTGTCCCAGTTTATAATCATCAATTTATTGACAAAAGTATGACCACCTCAGCCACGGCATATGGTGACATGCCCCCTCTCAGCCCCTTACAGCTTGCCGTACTATGACCTACGATGTTATGTACAAAAACAGAAGATAAAACCAGGTGCAAGTTCAGTTATACTTATGGTACATTGATTTTTTTTTAACAACATGTAAACGTACTGACCAGAAAATCACGCCAATAAACTCTCTCTTTCTCTCGACCTCAGTTGAAACCTAAATTTCATTTATTTTAACGTTGCATGCTGTGATGTTAAAACTTTTTATTAAGGGTGTCACGATACAACTTTTTAACTTTTTTTACCATACCCATATTGTAGCCTTCAGTATCAGCCGATGCTAATATTGATCCAATATCAGCACAAACTTGGGCATGACAAGTTTTGCACTATTTCGGACTTTAACGAAAAATACTGTAACTGTACTACTACTGTAGCTAGAGATGCCGGAGCGGAGTCTGGAATGGACTGCTTGTATCGGAGTGCTGATATCAGGGATTTTAGATGCAGGCCGACAAAATCTGATGTTTGTTTTTTGGCTGATGTTGGACTGATATCTGATATCAATATCGTAATTGGGACAGCCCTACTTTTTATTAGTGTCAAAGTCAATATTTTATCACATTATTTCTTCCGTATTGAGATTGCTTTTATTAAAGTTGTTGTTACCAGTGGAGTCTGAGCTGATTTCATTCGTGCCAAAACTCTCAAAAATCTGTGAAAATGAATTTACACTCCCCCCTGTAGGATGGGGTTGTTTTCTTCACAGGACTGAACTGCTCTTTCTCAGAGCTGTCATCGTGGGCAGTCGAGCCAATATTTGTGAATTTTCCTGCCAATGTTTTAGACAGCCGAGACTAATTCGAAATGTCACTGAACAAATTCAGCGACGCTAAAGCAAAGACAACCTTTTGTCAAAATGTATAAAAGCTGGTTTTGCATGTAAATGAGCCTAATTTTATGGCAACAATAGCAGTTCTAAGACTGAGAAAAGTAACCATGTCAAATCCCCCGTGTACAGTTAAGTCCGTGTTACCATCTGCTTCAGAGCATCACCAATGTCCTCCTTCACTTCCTATTTTCAGTCAGGTTAACAATGATATCAGCTGTTCAAGAAAAGGAAATAATTACGGATTAAATCATGACTGAACAGATCTTTCCTCTGACATTTTCCTCTTTTGGGTCTCTAACGATCAAGAGTTCAGGGTTCGACACGTGTTTATTCTGCATTTTTATTGGGGAGAATTCGCTTTAAGTGGGATGTCTGGTCAGGTTTCAAGAATCCCCAGGTCCCGTCCCATCTTTAATCAACATGCCAACCCAGACTGGCTGACAAGATGGGGTTTGTCGTGGCGCAGGTGTGCTGTTGGCTGCAGCTGAAGGTCACCTTCATTATTAAACAAGGGTGAGGACAAGGGAGAGAAAGAAGGCATCTGCACACCGCTGAACAATTCTTCATCTCTGCTCTCTTGTCTATGTTAAACTTAAGTCCCTGCTGAGCGCTGTGCTAAAGGACAGCATTGTTATGATTTCTCATTATAAAAATTAGCTTCTCTCTTGATGATGTGAGTATAAGGTTGAACTTTCAACCTTGGGCCATGGAAAGCTGCAGGAAGTGTCAACAAATCTGTTTTGGATAACGTTGAAGTCTTTGTGCTCTCTCTGCAGGTCTCTTGTGATCATCAGCACCCTGGATGGGAGGATCTCCGCTCTGGATCCTCACAACCAGGGAAGAAAGCAGTGGGACCTCGATGTCGGCTCAGGGTGCCTGGTGTCCTCAAGCCTCAGCAAACCTGAGGTACAACAACACACATTTGTTGGTTTAATCATCTAAACAAAACAAAAAAACCCAGAATACCGCCTACTGGGCTTGAGATTGCGGGGAAGTAATTAAGAACAACGACAAAAAAAACCACCTGAAATCGATGTGTACAAAATAATCCAGAAAAAAAACCTCTCACTTTTCTTCAAATTTATAAAAAGGTCATCTACTGTCACTTAAAAAGGTCAAACAAACCTTTTTGATTGATTAAAATCCATCAGTAAATAAAAAAAGTCACTGTTTTGAAGTCTCGACGTGTGAATGTGAGGTTAAGGATACAGCCTCGGCTCCAAACAAACCCTGTCCCTCCTGGCTCTCCTTCTATAGACTGTAAGCCCGGCAATTGAACTCGGTGCACTTTGAACATCCAGCCAAGGGTTGCTGCTGTTGCTTACATCCATTTCATACACAAAATACACAGCAGACATACCGCACACCCCCACACGAATCTGAGAGTAGCTGTATCGCCTGGAGGATTAGCCTCTTTGTTGACTGTATTGGTTTACACATTCAAGCACAGCGATACCCTCATCTGTACATGCATACAGAAGCTTTAGCCGCCCACACCGACACGCTGAAAAGTGAAGTGTAGCCCACAGCGAGACCGAAACCTCGCTCTCTGAGACGCAAGGGCTAGAGACTTGCTCGTGGTTCACTTTGATGTGGACTGGCTCTGTGGATGTAAGAGTTTAGCCTCGGGGAAAAAGCCTCTGATGCTAACAAGGGTCTGGGTGGCTGCTGAGATCAGATTAATGTTTGTCTGCTCGTGTTAGCGAGGCGAGTTTAAGGGTAATGAACTCTCCGCTCTCATCGTCTGCTGTGAGAATAAAGAATCATGAACAGAAACTCTTCATGGAGTCTAATACCTTTTGACAGGTGGGGTTTTTCTCCCCAAAAGAGCTTGTTATGTAGTTTTGGGTAACCACAGAGGAGTGTTTGCTCGATAACACAGATAAATCCAAACCCAGCTGGTATGTGAACACTCAGCACTTGGAGGAATAAACTAGTGAAGGAAAATGAAGAAGTACTTCCCTGTGTATGAATGGAAGCACAAAACTTTCCAATTATAGCAACTAGGATGTTACTCATTAGAGAAAATCCTCATCCCAGTGTCTCAAACCTCCCATATTAGTGGGTGAAGTCGTTTTCAAGTGTGAGCCAATTAGCATGAAAAACCGAGCCTGAAAAGTTCCCTGATTAGCAAACCCACCATTAAAAGGAGGGAAGTAATCAGTGAAATCAGCTGCTGTAAGAAATTAAAGAAGGAACCATGTGATGATGGCACGTGGTTCAGAACTGCCGTGTTTGGAAATTCATCTTTCATTCAACCCGTTTTCAAGGGTCCTTAGGGGTATTTTTGAGGGGAAGCCCCTGAAGGTAGCTCACAGCACTTCGAGTTTATACAGTGAAGACTCTGAAGGGAGTGGAGCTTCTCCTCTGGCTGTAAATTTGACCTTGAATATTGAGCGGCACCAGATATCACACTTGTTATATGGGAATTTGTTTTGGTGATTTTCATTCCTTCAGTTGAGGGATTGTGTAATTCTCTCTGGTCTGATCAAAGTGTCTCCTGCTCATAATAAAAAGAGAGAGAGAGAGAGAGAGAGCTGCATCAGAAAGCAATTTGTTTTCCCATAAATTTAATTTCCCTGTTTTTCATTTTCCCTTTTTTTTCTCTTCACTTGATAAAAAAATACAAGTATCTTGCCTGGACACTTGCCTCTACATAAAATTGCCTAATATCAGACTGTAAAAACTTTGATTAGTTTTTGAGTATTTTTTTTGCTTTGCTGTTTTTTAGAATATTTTCTTTCTTGTTTCTGTTTTTTGACTATTTTTTTCTTCTGTTTTTTGTACTTACATTTTTTCTCTTCTTTCTGTTTTTTGGACAATTTTTTGGTAACATTTTTTTTGTCTTTCTGTTTTCTAACATTTTTTTAAGTAACGTTTTTGTCTTTCTGTTTTCAGACAATTTTTTTGTTATTGTTTTTTTTTGTCTTTCAGTTTTTAGACTATTTTTTTTTTCGTATATTTTTTGGTCTTTCTTTTTTCAGACTTTTTTTTTCGTAATTTTTTTGTCTTTCTGTTTTCAGACTATTTTTTTTCGTGAATTTTTTGTCTGTTTTTCAGACTTTTTGTTTTTTCGTAAAAAAAAAATTGGCTGTTTTCGGAAAAAAAATTTTCTTAACATTTTATTTTTGTATTTCTGTTTTTCAGACTTTTTTTCATCACATTTTTTTTGTCTTTCTGTTTTTCCGACTACATTTTTCCTGACTAAACGAGATACTTCAAAATCCTCACACAATCACAATGACTTAAACCACCACAGATGCTCCAAATCAGATGCCATTTTCCCTCTGTTACAGCTGCTGTTTCAGGCAGTATGAATGAATGACTTCACCACATGATGAGTGAAAGAGACAGATAACTGGTAATCCTGAATTTAATGGGCAGTAAAAAGGGGCTTCAGTTGTACAGATTACACTTACGGACCCCCTAAAAAGGTTAGCATTGAGATGACAATAAAGTGTTTATTGTTTAACTCTCAAAAATGTTTGTGATACATAAACAAGGATCTACATTTTCTTCAGCCATCAGAATAAACCGCTGAAGTATTTTCAGTGTTCCTATTTTCACAGCTGCTCTGAAGTCTCTCTCAGGACAGGAGCGAGAGACTGCTAAAAAGTGTCTAAAAATTCACAGACAGACACACACATGTAACATCCTCCCATCATCCTGCACTGTGCTGCTGTTTGATGGCTGATGATGCTGACTCTGTTTATGTGAGTTGGACTCCCATCCGTGTGTTTTTTATTTTTTTTTCACCTGTTGGCTTTCATTTGGCTGACGGAGCGGAACGAGGAGAGATGCCTGTCAGCTCTGAACCTGGTGACTGGCTGTGATGTCACTTGTTATTTTCCCCAGGGACCCTGTATGCATGTGTGTGTGTGTGTGTGTCTGCATGTGTGTGAGCCGTTTTGTATGAGCTGTTTTGATCATATTCATGACCTTTTATGTAATTTTAAATCTGGCGTGCCCTGTCTGCCCCCTGTAACCTGGAATGACTGTCTGCCCTGTGTGTGTTTTTGTGTCTGTGTCGATGGTGGGTAGACTGCCACTGGCGAACTGCCACCACCACCACCACCACCACAACAACCCCCATCCCCACCCCATCCCATCCCATCCCAGTGCCTTCTTGGTTTCATTGGTGCTCGCCGGGTCCCTGAGACACGAGTCTGCTCGGTGATTAGAGGCTGGGGAGGTTCTGCCGCCGTGTCATTGGCTGGCCTCAGCGTGCCGAGGAGGAAGCAACCAGTCACCTGCTGCTTCCTGGGGAGTGTGCATGTGTGTGTTTTCCTCCTTTTTTTTTTTTTTAAGTGAAATGAGGGACAGCAGCAGAGCCACAAACAGCATTGTCTGCAGAAAAAGAAGCCATCACTTCAAAACGCCAAGAGTCGCTGGGGGGAGCGGGTGTAAGAGGGGGTGAAGGGTGTGTGTGTGTGGAGTGTGTGTGTGGAGTGGAGTGGGGGGTTACAGAGAGGAAGTCAGTGCCAACGTGGAGTGAGTCATTCCAGGGGCTAAAGGATAAAGAAGAGGGGGTGAGAGGGGGGTGATCGGGGAGGGTGAGGTAATGCCTCAGACCAAAGATGATGTCATCACAGAAAAGACAATACACACACACACACACACCTCTGCTGGCACGCAGCGTGAATGAATGAGAGAATTTGATAGATGGCTACACAATGACTAACGATTGATCGCCTCGCTGTGACTAATGTGACAAGCAATAATTCTTGCCGCGCGGCGAAGGAAATGAAAAAAGCCAGATGGGCGATATTTTTGGCAGAAAGTCGATCCCTCCCCTCTGCTCGCTCGGATGTTGTTGTGTTTATATTTTGTATTTGGCTCAAACCCGCAGCAGCACAGGGTCTCATGCTGTCTCCCGACTTTTAGCGGAGCATCAGCCTTGTGGGCCAACAGTGACACATTAGGGGCGGGTGAGAGCTGAAACTGTTTGACAGGATCGCTGGAGCATGGGCAGCAACACACACACACACACATGAGCCAGGCACACACTACCAGAACTGTCTAACCTCCACCCCTACCCAAATCCCCTCCTATACATTTCCCCAGAGTGGGATCCAGTGGCATGATTAACAATCAAATAATCATCAATCGCTCCAGCTCCCATTAAGAAATAGTGCAGCATGCCGTAACAACACTAATAAAGATGTAGGGGTAACACCACATGTGCAGATGAATATTTCAGAGAGCAGAAACACAAGCGCACACTGAAGACAAACCCTGAATGCTCCCTGCAGCCAACAGATGAATATCTGAAAATAACTGAATGACTGTGCTCTCAGTGTGAGCAGAGCAGAGCAGAGCGCATCATCCTCACATTCAAAAAATTAAAGAGGGTGCAGCTTGAATGAGTCTTCTGTAAAATGAATCGTCAAAGGAAAAAAAAAAAACCCAAGGACTTAGAAGATGTTTCTGCTGAGAGGACAGATTTCCTAATTACTGGAAAGAAATTTGAATCAGTTTCTTTTGAATTTTTTTTTTTTTTTGGATGTAGTTTTTCCTCGAATTAGGAGATAAAAAAAAAACTAACCCCCTTCAGTTTTTTTTAAAGGATGATTTTGTCCTTGTTTTAAGAGCTAACATCAAATTAAAGCCCAACAAATGACCTCATTAACAAAAAAACAAACACCATTCTTCACAGACAGAAGACAGAGTGGGGGTGGGGCAGTCTGTAATTTTATACACAGTTCACGAGGCGATACCATTAATTTGATTTAATGAGAGAGGTTTTAATCGAGTGAAAACCAGAGCAGCAATATCCCCTCTTATGTTATGGAAAAAACATCTTTTTTCCTCTGAAATCTCGTTAGTTTCCCAAACACAGCCGTAAATAACTCAGAATAATTCTACTCCAATTGGCAGAAACACAGATTTACATTTTAATTGAATGCATTCTTTTTCAGCAGGAGGAGATTTCTGGAAGCTTTCTTGGCATCAGCGCTCTGTAGATTAACATTTACATTTGCAAATACAACCTGCTGTAGATCAGCAGGAGCTCTGTAGAGTGTTGATCCTTAAATTGTTGTTCCCTCTCTGAACAGGTGTGCCCACTCACTTAACAGTCATCATGTAACTATCTTTTATTCTGCATGTTTGCCTGTACAATAAGAGGAATGACTGGATTTATCATGTATCATATAACTTTGCCTTTTAAAGGTACAGTTAAAATAAGGTTCTTAATTCAGTAAAAAACAAATAATTTACTTCACATCATTACATGTGTCATTGAGACAATTTTATTGAAGTGTCATTCAGTTTTTATAATTACTCCATGGTCATTAAGGTTCGTTTATGTTAAAGACACTTCACAATTGTGTTTTTTATGGAGATAATTTAGTTTAAATAGTAGAAAATAAACTTTGAACTCACTCAAACTGCGGTGAAGATGTCAAATCTATGAAAGAGGAGAAGTGTTCAAAAGTTAAAAAGTGCAGCAGACCTCTGAGAGATGATGAGTGACTGTTAGAGTTTGTGCTTCTTTAGACTTCTTCAGTTTATAACTCAAATCAAAGTTGATGTTTTCTCACCATTCTTCTGTTTTCCCACAGTTCTGAAACACTTGAAGTAGTATTTTTCAAAATAAAAGCATAATTTTATAATAAAGGCGAACGCACTGATAAATATATCAAAATAAAAGTATGAAAAACAATCGTTCAGTCAGGCAGTGTCAGTGCTGATGTTGTCATTAATCGATCATTAAGTTAAGCATCATTAGAAATAACTGCTTTTAATAGTAGAGCTTTTAAAAGTGATCGATTGGTCCATCCTTGTCTTATCTTTACTCAATTTGACTGATTGATTGATTTTAATTTTAAGTTTTCCATCGATATTGTGATAGTATTCTTATAATAATATTTCATGGGCATAATAATTGTGAAAATCTGATATGGAAACAGCTCTAACCACTGCATAAATAATACAACTTCTAAGATAATTCATGACAGCTTTATCCGGCTTATCTTTAATTTTATTTCATAGTTGTCAAGAGTTTTGTAAAGTTACACGGCAGATGAACAAGTGCATAAATCAGCGATAAGGAAACATGAATGTGCCCAGTGTTATTATCTGAACACGTGGAGCAGCTGAGAGGAAAGATCTGGTGATAAAAGTCTGAGCTGGATCAGACACAGATTAAAGCATCAGGAGCAGGATGACTCATCCACGGCTCTGAGAAGTTCCCTTCTGCTGCTGTAAACCTCTTTGCACCCCCTCAGCCATTCCAGCATGGTGTGATGTGATGGTCAGATTGTTAACCCCTCCTCCTTTCACCTGCTAAATTTATCCTCATCTTCTCTAAACCTCCACCCCCCCTCCCTCTGAAAAAGATGACATCACCTCTGCTCTCTTGTAAATCACTCTGTCACACTTTTCTGCCTCCAAGCGTTTTTTAATCCACCACAGAGCTATTACACTGATTTCTTTCATAGTCTAAAACAAGGTGATTGATACGTTTAAGGTCCAGTACCGGCGGCACCTGATGTCTCCATCCCACTCATGAGATCAATACCCTGGCCTCAACTTCTGTTATGTCAGCGAACATCTTTTAAAACAGTGTGACTCACATTTTGGACTAAAAACAAACTCTTTTCTCATGACAGTCTCTGTGATTTAACGACTCGAGTGCCTGAAGAAAACTGTCCCACCCCCTGATGAGTTAAAGCTTTGGAGGCTAAATCAGGATTAGGCTCCGATTTTTACAATGATGTCATTCTTTCTGCCCCCCTACAGCGAGCAGCACCCAATAGCACACACGCACATTATCTACAGTTCCTCACATATAGAGAGAGATCCAGGTTAATTACTTAGGCTCTTAGTTGTGTAATGGTCCCAAGCCTGTGGATTGAGTCCAAGTGTGTGGGGGCTAGAGCTGCTGCCGCTGTGTGGGCCAGTGTTGTCTGTGTGGGCTGCTGTCTTTGTGCTTGAAACATAGTCTGTCTGAGCTGTAAATCACTTTTCCAAACTGTAACAGATATATTCCAGGAGCTTCGGTGTGTGTGTTCGCTATTGCATCAGGCAAGAGTAATGCAATTAAGAAATAGCATTCTCTTACTTTAAGACACTAAAGTAGAGTCTGACGGTGATATAGGAGTCTTCCCGCTGAAGTTGCTGTATTACCTCACGGTGGATTTTGTGTCTCAGGGGGGGATGTTTCAGACAAATTTAGTAGGAGCATGTCGAGTCACAACAAACATAGCATAGAGCCTAAAGTGAGTTCCTTTACCTCATTGGATGTCAGAGCTGAGAGTAACTTCAAACCTGAGTCGACTGCCTTCCAAAGTCAGAAAGTAGTCCCTGCTGCTGTTAACATTTCATAATAATAATAACTTTATTTTTATAGCATTTTTAAAAACAGAGGTTAACAAAGTGCTTTGACAAATAGTTATACAGCACAGAACATCAGCACATTATAAAAAAAACAAATACAAAACAAAAGCTCAGTTAAAAACAAGACCTCCGAATTGAACGCCAATTTCATTTGTCATATGGAACCCAGACAATACAAGAACCCTACGACATAAAATGAGACCAAGAGGGAGAAGGAAGAAGAAATGTATTAAAAAGGGGGGTTGAAAGAAAAATAATTAATTGTAATGATAAAATAGAATAACAAAAATAAGCAGGAAAAAACATTAAAATTAATGAAAGGCCTAAAAGGTTAAATAAGAAAAGATTATAAGTACAACAAAGGCTAAAAAGACAGGAAGTTGGAATAAGATAGAGGTAAAATAGATAAAAGAGAAAAGAAAAAAGAGAGAGAGATTTTAAGCTATTGACAACATGTAGTGTTTATCCGCTCTTTAGTGGTTCATGTCAGACTCAACAGACAGATACCCTGTTTCTCTCACTTGTGGAGTACCTCAAGGCTCCATATTAGGACCTGCACTGTTTACCCTCAAGATGTAATTATCAAAAAACACAATGTTTATTCCACTGTGATGCAGATGATGCACGATTTCCTCTGATGTTAAACCACTCTGGTGATTTCAAAGTCTCCCAACTGCCTTTACGATATCAAACACTACAGCTCAGGAAGTAATTCTGCTTGGTCCACCACAAGCCACACAGGAAATTACTTCAGAAGTTTGACAAGCAAACAACAACTGTCTTTAAAAGCTGCCGTTTACACCTCTGAAATTATGTCTGATTTAAAAACAAGTTCCAGTTTCCAAATTTCTTCTTTGTATTTCTCCTTTTTCCTTGACTGAGACTCACTCATTTGTTTTTTTTTTTTTGTTTCTGTAGGTGTTTGGCAATAAGATGGTCATTCCTTCACTGGACGGTGCCTTGTTCCAGTGGAACCGGGACAGGGAGAGTATGGAGGCAGTGCCTTTCAGTGTGGAGTCCCTGCTGGACTCGTCCTACCGAATCGGAGAGGACACTGTACTGGTTGGGGGCAAATCCCTCACTACTTATGGCCTTGGTGCATACAGCGGCAAGGTCAGTAAAAGTACTTTGATTTAACTTGAGGCTTCTTAGAGTGTTCTGTACGTTGAGAAGAAGTTGAAGTAATCATGCTAAGTAGTTTTAAAGTGTTCAATATCACCACAAAGTCGAGGCAGACTCTAACCCTATTTGTAATTTCCCTTCAGCTTCGGTACATCTGCTCCGCGGTGGGCTGCAGTCGCTGGGGGGAAGACGAGATGGAGGCAGAAGATGTGCTCCTGCTGCAGAGGACTCAGAAGACGGTGCGAGCCATCAGGCCACGATCAGGGATGGAAAAGTGAGTTTAATTCAATCAGTCAATCAATCAGTCTGTCAGTGCCTGTCTGTCACCCGCTCGGTCAGCCAGCCAGCCAGTCAGTCAGTCGGGATGACTCATGAAGCACCTGCTGAGTCCTGTTTAGTATTCCCAAAGCATCAGAGCTTCTCAGTTGAATTACCATCAGTGGATTTTAATGAAATTCTGCCTCTAGGACTTAACATTGTTATCACTGAAACACACAATACAGACTGATTATTGTGGAAATGACTTTGTAATTATGTGATGAGGTATTATTTTGACTTTTTTGTGGACGTTTTTGCGCCTAGGGAGATTAGAGATTAATATTATTGTTGATACATTTGAATATTTTAAAATGCAGTTCCAAAAGATACTAAACAAATACAACCACAAGCTATTTTCATACGTATTCATCTTAAAGTCGACCCTAAGTATGCAATTAAGTCAAAAATTATAAGTGCAGAACAATATAAAGTATTGATTATATTATCCTTTATATTGTTCTGCAGGTGATGTTTTCTGCTACTGCAATTTTATTTTCATGTCTTTATTTGTTTTTATGTGTATAGTTTAATTAATATTTGTTTCTGCTTGATGCTTAATTAATGAATTAATTAATTTATTTATTTTTGTGCATTTTGAATCCCATTATTATGATTTAATTCAATTAATAAAGAAAGAAAGAAAAAAGAAAGAAAGAAAGAAAAAAGAAAAGAAAAAAAACACATAACATAATAAATCCTTTTCAGCTGAGATAAAAATTGTAAAAATAGATAAATAAATTATAAGTGAAGTAGTTTTTTTAAAGTGGTTTTGTCTGTCTCTTAAAAACCAGGTGGAACTTCAGTGTTGGAAACTTTGAGCTGAAGCTCCTTCCTGAGACGCAGTCTGGAATCAACTTCCTGGAGGGAGAAGTGGTGAATGGCGAAGCCTGGAGGGAGAGCCAGCGAGTCATCACCGATGAACCAAAGGACAGTGAGAGCACAGAGAACCAGCAAAACCAGAACAAGAACCTGGACCTCGTGATTAAAGTTTCTGTCCCTGATTGGAAGGTCATGGCCTTCAGCAGTGAATCGAATGGACAGCTGGTCTGGGAACATCAGGTAACACACTGAACACGGTTGTGGTTTATTTGAACTGCCTGTAATGGAGAGATTCACTCTTTTTCCTTTGTGGGTCTCAGTTCTGCACTCCAATCGCTTCAGCTTGGCTGGTTGGCGGAGGTAAAGTCACACCAATCACCCTGTTTGATGACAACGCCTACAGCAACCAGTCCGAAACTGATGAGGAGGATGTTGATGAAGACGATCCAAAGAAGGCCAGAGGAGCTGCAGAGTCCAGTGTTTACCTCGGTATATCCAAACTCTTGCTCTTTCCAGAAGGGGTTTCAACACAAATCTGTTATCGTTGTAAAAGTTGTCCCGCAGACTCTAATGCATCCATGATTCTCTCTGTTTATCAGGGATGTTTCAAGGACAGCTCTACCTCCAGTCCTCTGTGAGGATCACTGAAAAGTTCCCCTCCAAAGCCATCGGATCAGAAAAGGACATCATTCCATTACCCACTGTGAAATGGAAGCCTTTAATCCGTAAGTCCTCACCTCCTTTAGTCATTAGGTGTTGAGTGTGATTACCCAGTTTGTGCAGGCAATCTTTGGGGCGAGCAGTGATCAAAGACTCACCTCTTTATTTTGGCTTTCGACACAAAGGGAAAATGTTTCTTGTTTTCAGCGAAGGATTATTAATGAGCTTCCTTTTGGGCTTGTTTTGTGCCGCTCTGAGCTTCCTCTCCTTCTCCCCTTTTAATGTATGACTATGCTGTGATTGTTATTCCAGCTCTATTGATCCCTGCTGAGATCAAAGCACTTATTCATCTTGTCCTTGACACAGATTCTCCATCCCGGACACCAGCCCTGGTTGGCTCTGATGAATTCGACAAGTGTCTGAATAATGACAAATTCTCACATGATGAGTACAGCAACGGAGCCCTGTCTGTCCTCCAGTATCCATACGGTGGGAACTTCTATACTCTGTACCAAACCACAGTAAAGTTTTCAACTCCTAGATAGGTGACAGAGTAAGGGGACTAATTTTAGCTTCCTCTCCCCGCAGACAATGGCTACTACAACCCCTACAGCAAACATTACAGGGGGAAGCGAAACAGCGCTATGACTGTGATAAAGGGAAACAGGGCGGGAGGTGAGAACCGCAGGAAAAAGGACCCCGTGCTGCTGCTGCCCTGGTGGAAGGAGATCCTCGGCACTATATTTTTCTGCATCGCTGCCACCACCTACATCGTCCGCAAGTTCTTCCATCCCCCAGCCCCCGTGATGTATGTGAGGGTAAGAGCCTGCAGCGACACGGACACTGAGACTAACTCCTGATGTTCATTCTCATCATAACTAAAAATACAGATACAGATAAAAACAGAGGTAAAAAAGACAGTTAAGTCATGTTGTGAGGTAAGTGACAGTTTAAAGTGATAGATAAATTGAGTCTAGTGTTAGTTCAGGCAGGCCAGGAGCTTTGTTAGACATACAAGGAAATATGATTTTGCTGTTGAATTTAAAAGTTGTGAATTCTCATGAAACTATCTTGAACAAACGAGTCGATCTTTCTCTTCTGAATCCATGCCACATTTTTACTCTCCTTTTTTTTTTTATGTCTCCTCTGTCCTCATCTGTCCTCCTCCGTCTGTCCCCCAAAGCAACGGAAAGAGTCCGAGACACAGTGCCAGACAGACTGCAAGTTTGACCTTGAGGTTGTGGAGTCCAAAGAGCCAGTTGCTATGGAGACCCGCTCCAGCGAATATGTGTCTAGGTATGTCTCGGCTAATCCGCTGTGAAGCAGCGAAAGCAGCATGTGCTCAGTGTGTGAACGGTTTCTGTCATGACTCAGGAGAACTCGACGTAACACTTACTACTGAGCAGAGAATTGTTATCCTCACTCCAGCACCGGTCTCACTCTCTCAAGGTGTAGCTACAGACTGTGCGCTGTTACCATGGTGACCACTGGTCTTCCAGCCTTCCTGCCTGGATAGGACCGGGCAGAGATAGGAGCTGCATGAGTGTATGATTGGATAACTCAGCTGTTTGCCATCAAATGAAAATGACCTTGGCCCCCGCAGACCCCACCCCGTCCGGCAGCATCTGCCACAGGGTCGCAGTGTCATTTTACATCACTGTCAGCACATTGTCAGAAGTTTTTTGCTTTTCGGACATCCCAAATATGATCAGTAGCCATAATTTATGAGCTGCCACTGACCTCCTGTGGTCTGATCGATGAAGTTTGCATGTTAACGTGTGTTGGTTGAAGATTATAGCGCTGCCCCACCCAAAACATCAGCAGGAATCTGATTAAACTGTAGGTTTTTTTCCCTCCTGTTGTCGTCGCTGCATGTTTTATTCTCTTGATCCACCCTAAAAATGACAAACATCCCACCCGCCCCTCTCCGATAAAGCTGCAGCTGCAATCCATACAAATGACTTTAGCTGAAAAGTTTCCCAAAATAAAACCGGTGGCTGTTGCAGCAGCTGAAGCAGGCGTGAGTCAAGATCGTCGGGAGTGAGATAGAGATCAGGATACGAAGCCTGGAGCAATTGTGCCCACACAAATCTGGATAAGACATTTTCAGTTCCCCGAGCTGCACATGCAGGAATCCTTTGATTGGTTGTTAAAGAAGTGCTTCTCAGACAGTTTTAGACCACAGCACCTCTTCTTTAAGGACAGAACTTGTCCTGTATTTCATGCATGTACTGCAACGTGCTCGGAAATGTCAGTGTAATGTCAGAAAATTTTGCTTATCTGCTAAAGAAAGGCTTCAGTACCAGTTTAAGAGTTAAAATGCCACTTTTTTAGATGCTTTATATTCTTAGGGCTGCGACAGTTAAGAGTGATAATCAAAGCAATAGATCCATAGTCATTGATATGTGATCTGATGGTTTGATGGAGTAAATTATCAAGAAAAAAAGAGTCAAAGTTCTTCGATTACAGCCGGGAAATAACATTTTATTTCTGTTCCTCCTATAGGACAGTAAACTGAATGTCTTTGGATTGTGGGCATATCTTTTTGGTAACACTTTAATTGATTCCTATCTCTATAGTGCCTTATAAATATATTTATAATGCGTCATAATCACATTATAGCACAGTGTAACTATAGTTATAAACACTCATAAATGATCATAATGCTTTATAGCAATAATAATAACTCATTATAAAATATTTTATCATGACTTACAAGGTCAGGTATTATAATGTGTTATAACTGTTAACAACTGTTGCAATTGTCGGCATTGTCGGTGAGTTTAGCATTATGATCATTTATGAGTGTTTATAATTATAGTTATGCAGTGCTTTAAAGTGATTATAACACACTATGCATATATTTATAATGTGGGATTATAGGGATAGGCATCAAATAAAGTGTAACCCTTTTTTTTTTAATACTCAAACAGTTATTACATGTTTATATTCTAGTTGTATCTGATTCAAACTGAACTAAATCACACGTGTACACTCAAAGGTGCCTGACATACAGAGGCGATCATCCAGGTTTTAATTTTTAAACAGTGAGCCTTTTATTTCTACATAAGAGTAGGTCCTCTTCGGCCACAATCTTGCAAGGAAAAACTATTAACGGCCACACTCCCATCTGGAAAATAGAGAAGAAGAAGAAGAAGACAGCGGCTGTTATACCCTGAAACAATTTGACAAATGTAGGATTGTACTCTTACTTACATTAGCGATCTTATTTATGCTGACAATGATTTGAGTAGGGGGTCAAAAGCACAATAAATAGGCGATGAGACTGATACACAACCCCCAAATGTTGGTGCTTGAAGCTGCGCAGTATCAGAGGAAGAAAAAGTGTTGTGAGAGTCTTTTTCTCAGTGAACATCTCAATCACACAAAAGTAAGCAGGACATAATTTCATATTTTTCATGCCCTAAATAGGTCAAAAACCTCATCCTGAAATTATCGTTCCAGAAAAGCGCAGTGATTCTGAATCCTTTCTCCCCTCCTCAGTGGTGTGTGTACTTTGTAAGTCAAAACATGTCTTCGCTGTTCAGCATGGGACCTCTAAGTAGAGTCTGTCTTAGCCAAGCAATTTTTTCTGACAGCGTGGGATTAGTTTGAATTCATGATACTGTTGAGCTGAGAGAGTTGGTTACCTGCCAGCTCAGCCACACTCAGCCCTGACAGGGATTTGGCTGCTTATTACCCTTTAACCACTTAATAAGCCTCCCTGACCGAAAATGAAAAGTGCGATCCATGGTCTTTGAAATCCTCTCGAGTGTTTGAGACAGAAAGAAAAAAAAAAATCTCTGTTCTGCCTCCAAGAGCAGTGTGATTCTCTGCTCTTTTCTTTTTTTTTTCCTGCATAATCAGAAAAGTGTTTTCTCCCCAGGTACCTGACCGACTTTGAGCCAGTGCAGTGCCTCGGCCGCGGGGGGTTCGGTGTCGTTTTTGAAGCCCGCAACAAAGTGGACGACTGCAACTACGCCATCAAACGGATCCGCCTGCCCAACAGGTAGCTCCCCTCGCCGCTCCCGCCACAGACTTCCTTGCTCGAGGCTATTTGCTCTGTCTGTGTCCCTGTTTCCTTTAGAGGTGTAAAACCGAGTTACATAAGAAGCAGTCTGCCTTTCTGAACACGGAAAAACAGCGCAGAGAATTCGCTGACATTTTGGTCCAAATATCAGCCGATGCATTTCTGTTTGTTTTGACAAGCACACAAATTTAGCGTTCAGCTACGGCAGATCTGCATGGATTTATATTTCAGCCTGTTATCGACTGATTCATTGCACGGTGCAGAACAAACCAGCCTGTAATTTATTTTCATGCCCAGTGTTTTATTGAAGCAGTCAGTGATGTATTATTATTGAATCGATGTAAATGTCACTTCAGTCAGCTGCTGTGATGGAATAATTACTGAGGGTTGAGTCAGGAAGCAGTTTTACCTGGATTCAGGTGTGTGAAGAGAAACTAGGACCATAATACAGCCTAATAAGGATTATAATCAGGTGATTTCTCTTCTCTTTTCCTCTCTGAATGGATACTAAACTCTAACCCAGATATTGTCAATCTTCCAGAGAGTTGGCTCGGGAGAAAGTGATGCGGGAGGTGAAGGCCCTGGCCAAGCTGGAGCACCCAGGGATCATCCGTTACTTCAACGCCTGGCAGGAGAGCCCCCCTGAGGGCTGGCAGGAGGAGATGGACCAAAGGTGGCTGAAGGACGCCAGGTTAGCTAAAAAGGCCGTCACCCACGTCTCAACGGGGTCAAGCTTGGAGCTCAAACTGCCAGGAATCTGTTGTTTTTAGGGACGGCATCCATGCAGAAATTTCAGACGTCTGCTGGGAGAAAAACGAGCACAAGTGATGTCCCTGATTTTACATAACTCGCTGCACTTCACTGGTTAATTAAAACAGATGTTCAACTGCCGGTGGAAGAAAAACGCACATTCGTACAAGAGTGTTTGCTTCAGAAAAACGACAGATGACTCTTTTTTTTTATTCATCAGGGCAGATGGAGGCAAGACAATATTATTATGAAGCATTTATAAAGCACTGTTCATACAGAAAGCTGTTCAAAGAGCTTACAGTAACAGCAATAAATAAAAATACAACATCAAGCAGAGACAATACATCTGCCAGATAAACTTGCTGTTACACAAATGCAGCCAGGCGATCCCAGCATTGATTCTTGTGCACGTCCTCAGACATTTACACAATCTGGACATGGAGTGTCGTATCGATACAAACAGCAGGGGCAGTGTAGAGGCAGAGATCAGAAATGATGGGACACTTAAAGACAAGCTGATAGAACCAGTGCAAATCTAAAAGTGATCTGAACGCTCACAGACCGAAAGCTGAAAGGTCCCTGAAAAATGAACCCATCTTATTCAGAGTAACACATGCTCCGGGTTTGTAAACAGTAAACTCACTTCTCTGTATTCATCCTGGACACATGCAGCGAGTCGTTAATGAAGAGGAGATTAGTTTTGAAATTGTTTTGGTGAATCATTTATTGGTTCAGAGCTCTTGGTTATGTGAAGAAAGCTCCATTTCTAATTGTGAATCAAGAGACTTTAGCTTTAGACTGTTAGCAGACAAAATACAAACTTTTAGGATGTCATTTGTTGAAAAGTTAAACACTAAACTGACTGGAGGATTTGTTCAGTACAAAAATATCTGCTGCTCTAGTGACTGCACTGTAAATTCAGCTAATTTGGGTATTTTGTTTTTATTTCTTCAACTGTTTGGATAAAGCTGCAGAGTTATCTTGAACACTTTACAGAAATCTTGAGTGTTTTCAAAGTAAACATGTTGACTACAACAGTTTGATTTCTTTTCTAGTACCACTGACTGGCCAATGAGCTTCCTCGACCACATGGAGGTGCTGTCAGTCAAAGTTCCAGTGTCCAGCTCGGTGCCACCCGCTCATGGACCTGCAGCAGACGCTCTGGAGGCCTCTGTGGACACCCAGGCTCTTCTCACCAGCAGCACTGGTGGTGCTGTTGGTTTTGATATTGACCTCAGAGACCTGTCCTTCCAGCCGATGTTGGGCCACGACAGCCTGATGTCAGAGAGGGACAGCCAGGCGGACCCCGACGCCTCCGACACCCCGCACTCTTTCGAGCTGTGTCCCCCACGCGGCCCCAGCGACTGCACCTCCTCCTCCTTTGACATCGTCTTCGAGGACTCGGGCTGCGACCGCGACGCGGACGCAGACACGGATTCGGCTTCTGGTGTGGCCAGTCCGAGCTCGACGACGGACAAGAACAGCTCGTCTTCCTCGCACACCAAGAGACAGGAATCCGCCCCGCCCTCTTCCTCCTCTCCTCCTCGGCCCACCTCGCTCTCCCTCGCTCTGCCCACATCTCCTCCAACACAGCGAGTCCAGCCATCGCCCAAGGTCAGGCAATCATTTACTCAGCCAGCTGTAATTAACTCGTGTGTCAGACTTTCTCACCCTGTTCCAGTTTGTTTTAGCTTATGACTGCTGCTCCATCAGTCATGTCCAAGTTTCATATTTGTTTTAAGGTACAGGTTTAAAGTCTACAGGTGCACTTACCGAGCTTCTGACAAATGTTTTTCTTTCTGATGGTGTAGACTTTAGTCAGAAAGCTTTCCTGAAATAATGGGATTATTAATCATTCATTGATTTGTATTTTTAATTCACAGTTTCCTATCCAACATATGGAGAAAACTGACATCTAGAATTCACAGAAGAAGAAACTACTACTCTAAATGTAAAACAGCAGATTGTCAGCTTTTAAAAAACCCCTCCCCTTGTCTCCAGGTGTACCTGTACATCCAGATGCAGCTCTGTCGGAAAGAGAACCTGAAGGACTGGATGGCTCAGCGCTGCCTCTCAGAGCAGAGGGAGCACAACCAGTGTCTGGACATCTTCCTCCAGATTGCAGAGGCGGTCGATTTCCTGCACAGCAAAGGCTTAATGCACAGGGACCTCAAGGTGAGCCAAACACCGTCCACTTTTCAGACATTTATGAGCGCAGTTATGCTTGGATTTGAGGAATAAAATATAAACTTCACCAGGACTGTATCATGTTTGCTAAATATGCCGTCACATCTGCTCCTCCAGCCCTCCAACATCTTCTTCACGATGGACGACGTGGTAAAGGTGGGAGACTTCGGCCTGGTGACGGCCATGGACCAGGAGGAGGATGAGGACGAGCAGAGCGCCCTGACGCCCGCCCCGCTCCTGACCAGACACACGGGCCAGGTCGGCACCAAGCTGTACATGAGCCCTGAGCAGGTGAGCACGCGAACACAACCGACCCGTTTATAGAAACAAGACAAAACATCCAAGAACACATGAACTGAAATTCACATGCATACTAAAAATCATGAACTGAAACAATACTAAGATTTGACCGCTGACAATTTCAACTTCCATGTTCCTGTTTTCCTGGCAGCTCTCTGGGAACTCGTACTCTCACAAAGTAGACATTTACTCTCTGGGTCTGATCCTGTTTGAGCTCCTCTATCCTTTCAGGACGCAGATGGAGAGAGTGAGGGTAAGTCAGGAAACATTCAAACACATACTCATACCTGAGTTTACCTGACTTTCTCTTCTGTTATTGGCTCATCTTAGACTCACTGGTGACCTTGTAAATCATATTTATAAATACATGCAAACATGATTTTGCCTTTTTTTGTATTTCTGATTGTTTTTCTCAAGTGTGTGAAAGTCATAAATTACAGTCCAGAACCCCCGCTGCTTCAATTTGTTAAATCTTTAGAGGAGAGAGACTTTCTGATGAGGCGGCGAATCTTTTTGTCTTTTCTTTTATACTCTCCATGTTTCTGTTATGTCTGAAAACTGTTGGGAAAACTGTAATACATAATGAGACGACTTTTATCTGTGAATGTTAATTGTTGTCAGTTTAAACAGTGAGTTATCTTTGCCCTTGTGTCTGTGCGTGTGTGTGTGTGTGTGTGATCCACCAGGACTCCTTTGTCTCCGAAACAAAGGACCTGATTAACCGTTAACACGGCTCGGCTCACAGGTGTTTACATCCCTCTCTTTCAGACGCTGACAGAGGTGAGAGCGCTGCGCTTCCCCGAGGTCTTCTCCAAAAACAACGTTCAGGAGGTGAGTGGCTGTCTGCTGACACCTTGTGGCTGTAATCTCAAACTACAACCAGGAAAATAGAATTCTTTCTTGTTGCGAATCCAAGCTGCAAAAACTGAACAGAAATGGAATAAAAGTGAATGAAAATAAATGAGCAAATATAAAATATGGAAATGCATGAAGACATGAAGTCAGTCATTACTGTCAGAAACAGCCGAATAAACATGATTTTAATGCTTTTGTGTCCATAATCCTGTAAGAACCTCATTATATATGTGAACATACATGAACATAAACAGTTAACATGATCAGCCAGAATAGTTGTGTAGTACTACACAGGTCACGGGCCAACTGTTTGTGTTGGGTTGGTTACATTACCTCGTCTATCAGTTTACTTTGTAATGAGATTAACATAATCCCGTAGCCTAATCTGTAATTATCCAGCGCTGGAAATACCCTCGCCCTGTTATTCTGGTATAAACACTTTACCAGTTGTTTACAGGAATGAGCAACTATTTGATAAGAATTTTTTTTTAAATGTGAAAAAGCAGCAGCTTCACAACTAAGAGACAATCGATCAGGCATCCGTATTAGTGTGAGTCTGTTTAGTAAGCTGCTAAAAACTCCTCACAGTAGCTTTAAAAAATATATATATTTTTTTAAAGGACAGTTATGTTTCCTAAAAGTTGGAATAACCGGGTTCCTATGCAAGTATGGAAATAAATTTGATCGATTTCCAGGTCTTTAAGAGTATAGAAAATGAAAATTAAGTATGGAAAATTATTTATGTTTCCAGACTCTTACCACAGTTCTGAAATACTGTTTAGTAAAATAGAAAAGTAGGTATTTTCAAAGATAATTCTAAAAAGTATGTTATGGAAAAGTATGGAAATTCCAACTGTGTAGTAACTCTGGAATAAGTAAAACAAAATACTGAATAAAAGTTGTGTAATGGTTAAAAAAACACCTGGAGGAATGTTTACTAAACAATTATGTAAATTTGTAACGAGTTAGTCACATGACTGTGTAGAAAAAAAGGTTATTCTGGGTGAACAAGTAGTTCAACATTTTCAGAAAAATGTTCTTCGGCTTCAGGGTTTCATCATCACAGTCGATGAAAAAAGAAACAAGTAAAATCTCAGTACAAAAAAAAAAAGCAGCTCAAACATGACTGTAGTAGAAATCACTGCTTCCACATGTCTAAAATGTCACTGTGTCTCCAGTGTTGTTGTGTTTAATCTAATGTAAGTCTGAAATGGTTTAAAACTCCATCAATTCTGTTTTCGTGACATTTGGGAGTCATTTTTTCAGGGAATCAGGGTCGTAAATAAGTCCAGACAAATCTCATGAAACAGGAGAAAATATTCAGTCAGGATAAATCCACTATTGAAAGTGAATTAGAGCATGAATTAGAAGCATATGGTTCTGATTAGTCCCGGATCTGCTGAGTTATATGCATGTTTATATAAAAGAATTGATTTGAATTGAATCGCATAAATTACGGCGGTGGAATCACTGTGGCGTGACTCTTTCTAAAAGACGTGTCTGTGTTGTTTGTTTTCTCTCTCTGTAGTTGAGTATGGTGCACAGCATGCTGTCGTGGAGCCCCGGCGAGCGTCCCGAGGCGGCTGAAATCACAGGGACTCCCCTCTTCCAGGAGCTGGAGCTGCCTTTCAGAACGGCTGTGAGGCAGCGCTCCCGCACCTACAGCGCCTCGTCTATGGGCCGCCCTTCACGCCAGACATCCTCGACCTGAAAAAAAAAAACATGACGCAATACCTTACCCCCATCCCACTACCCCCCTGTTGGTCTGCAGTTCAAGAGAAACACCTCAGCCCCGCGGCATCACACACTGCCTCAGACAGAATCACTTTAAACGCCGAGTTTGACTAACACGCGGGAGTTTTAGCTCGCCGCCTGGCATCAGAGCAGCGAGACAAAACCCTGCACGGTTACTCATCCTGGCGAAATACCCATGCCGTTAAATATTCGCACACATAATGCTGCCCATGCTCCCAATTGAAATCACACTAGCAAGTCAAAAAACGATTTTAAAGCGACAGGCGTTCTGTCGTGTTCAGGACCAGACTCGGCTCAAGTGGCTCTAACCAATAATTGTCAGGCTCTGAGTACCAGATGTGCAGTGTTTACTGTGATCCACAGAACATCCGAACTCATTAATTCTCAAGTGTTTACCTGTGATTTTCTACAACGACTAACTGCATTATGTGGTACCCTGAGATCCGTACTGAGAGCTTTTTTGGCTTTGATTTGATCCTGGTCTGGTCTCCGCACGCTGCTCGCTCTCCTCAATCAGCCAGTGTTCACTTAACCACGCTACACCTCAGGTATCAAAACCAAGAGGACACTCCAAAGGGGCCTTTGATGCTTGATCATCCTATCTACTAGTGACTATTACCGATCACTGGTACGAGCACTATCTGGTGTTTTGACACCCAGTATGCCTAAATTGGGAGACCAAAAAAGACCATCTTTTTTTTCCTGTGTTTTTTTTTTTTTTTTTTTGATGAAAAGACGGTGATGTATTGAGTCGAGAGATTTTATGAGTCCAGTTAATCAGATATGATTTGCCTTTAGGAAGGGGCCTCCTGGTCCCCTCTGAGTGAATGCTGAGCCTCCGTCTCTTTTGCATGTACCTGATAGGAGAGTGAAGGGATGAGTGTGAGTTGCTATCTTGAAGCCAGTACTTTGGAAGCGTTTTTTTTCTCTGTGTAAATTTACACGATAACGCCGAGGTGCTCAATCATTTTCTAACACCTCCTCTTTGTACATATAATTGAGGGAAAAACCTGTTTATACCTTTTTTTTTTCTTTCTCTAATTCATACAATAAGTTTGATCAAACTTGTACATATTGTAAGGCGCCATTGCCTGTAAATGGCTTTTTCCATTAGGAGACTGTAAAAAGTGTGATATACTGTGGGAGAGGGAACAAAGAGGAGACGATCTCTGCCATTAACGGATAGCTGAATGTTACAGTGTGACCTCCAGAGACAGAATGATGGTGGTCACCTCTTCTGACTTTATTCTCAGTGTTTGTTTTCACATGTTTGGGGGTACCGGGTAGAAGAGGTGTGCCCTGCTTTAAGCACCAGAGAACCCACAGGACCAGAGTGCCATTTGAAAGTCAGCTAAGTGTACTTTTTTCCGTAACTGATAATAATAATAACTCACCTCACACTCTTCTGAAAATCGTCCTACTGTGCTCCAACCCTGTCCAGATGACATTTACGATACAGCCACACAAACCCTGAGGTCTGCCGCTCTCCCACCATGCAGGAGAAAATAGCATTTAAGAAGATGACACTGTTTTACCCTCTCTACACTGTCTACAGGGGACCTGGACCTGATGTTGGTCGTTTGTTTCATGTACATAGGAAGTGCTGGGAGAGTCACATGACCGCTTTGTAACGACACACACACAAACTGCTAATTGTAACATGCTTTCAATGATTGTACTTTTTTCTAAGGATCTTTTTTCTCTCTCTCGCTCGCTCTCTTTTTTTAACTAAGCGCAGTTTTTGGATTATCCTGCAGGGTTTTTTGATTACTGTAGAGTCTGAACTGTGTTTGATACTGGTGTTTGTTCATCCATCCAGTCAGCCCACTGAAAAATGACTCATTCTTGTCGTGAAATGCATCAAATCCGTCTTCAGAGTAGGAAAGAGACTGCTCTCACCACGCCAGGATGACTGAAGGGTTTTGTTCAGTAATGACACACCAAGGAAATTCAAGTTCTGATTTTAGGATTTAGGAACCATCTGCAGTTGATTTACTGAAACAAAGTTTTTGTTTTATGTTGAATCAGACGGAAACTTTCACAGCTTAACTCACCTGAACTTGTAATTATCACGCACAAAGAGGAAAATGGAAGTGTACTATAAACGGCTCCAGAGATTTACTCCCTCATACTCAAACCAAGAAAATGTGATGATGATGATACTGTTAAGTTTTCATGCTTTGTATATTGTGTTTCAGTCGTTCCACTCCTGTCCTGTCCTGGTAGCTCCTCTGATTGCTCATATAAAGCTCAGACCCTCTTCTTCTTCTTCTCTGACACCTCAGCTCGGACATGTAGTCGCGTGTTCTCGTGCACAAACCCCCATCCTCTGTCCATGTTGAACTGTAAATATGTTTATTTGCTTTATTTATGTTTCCACGATGTGATCAATCCTTTTTTGGGTTGGTGTTATTACGAATGCGCTTCGTGCGACTGGAGCGCGTTGGAATATGATGACTTCTTACAAGTCTAAATTTAATAAACTGTTCTATACCCTTTGTACAGTTTGGTGTCCTTGGTGTGCAGTCTGTGGGTCGGTGTGGGACTTATGGGTCATTACAACATAGATACTGATTATCACATTTAAAATATGTTTTACCTACTCTTTAATAAGTTACACTGGTTTGATACTTCTTAAGATAAGTATGGAAGTACGGGGGCCCTTAAGGGTCAAATGCACAAACATTTTATTTCACAGAACATTTTTTAAAGGTAGTAAAATGTTTTTAGATTTTTAAAAATGTTTTTTTTTTTTGCATGCTAATTATTTTGTTAATTCAGAAATCAAAGCAATTTATTGTAACCCACTCAGTTTTGATATTATTCTGAAATAATTACCAGAATCTCATTAATTCCACAAAAATGAAAAAAAATTAAGAATTGCGTTTTTTTTTATCGATAAAAAAGGTAATATGTATTTATACCATTATTTTAATTTAGAGAAATTGCAAAGTCAACACATATTATTTTACTATTTAGTGTTGTATAAAGTGTACATACTTGTATATTATTATTTTTTACGTATTTTATGTATTTATCTCTTTTTATATATTATTTATCTCCTCTTTTTACTTTATTTGCACTGGAGTTACTGTAGCAAAAAGCAATTTCTCCCTGAGGATTATTGAAGTATTTCTGATTCTGATTCATAGTTACAATGCGCTTTAGGAATTTAAAGTGTATTCTCTGTTGACATGATCATACAGGTGATTATTGTACTTAATTTTAATTGTTGAGGATGTATTAGGTAGTGAGGTTTTAATGGAGTGTGTTTAATTCAATCATGTTCCTAATATTTTGACCACTTTCTCCAGTGAAAACATGTGGGGGTCAAAATATTTGGAACACCTTTCAAAATAAACCACTTCCAGTACAACTTAAAAGAAAAAAATAAAACACAGAGAGGGAGGAGGCCTGTGTTATGTTCAATATTACCAGGAAAAAGTGTTTTAATAAATGTGAATAATTATTTTTAGGTAACAAGGGGGCGGGGCTGGTTCGGATTTCAAAATAAAAGTTTAAAGTGTAGGGTTTTTTTTTGTTGTTGACATGTTCAGACAGGTGATTATTGTACTTAATGTTAATTATTGATGATGTAATAGGTAGTAGGTTTTTAATGGGGTGTTTTTAATTCAAATGTGTTCCTAATGTTTTGTCCACTTCATTGAGTAAAACATGAAGGGGTCAAAATATGTGGAACACCTTTCAAAATAAATCACACCCACTACAACTGAAAAGAATAGATGGTGGAGCCTGGAGTTTTGTTCAATATAACCGGGAAAAAAATGTTTAAAAAAGCGTAAATGTTTATTTTTAGGTAACGGGGGGGGGGGGGGGGGGGGCTAGTTCCCATTTCAAACATTTAAAGTGTAAAAAAAAAATAATAAAACAAAACACTGAGCGGAGGGAGGAGCACTGTTTTATGTTCAATATTACAGGGAAAATGTTAAAAAAGCGTGCATTTGTATTTTTAGGTAACAAGGGGCGGGGCTTGTTCGGATTTCAAAATAAAAGTTTAAAGTCCTCGCGCTCTGCCTCCCCCTGGTTGCGCATTTCCGCTACCATGACGTCACTTCTGGATGTCAATATGCGGCTCGGTGCGGCGCTGGGTAACGGAACCACTGGAAAGATGTAAACCAAGTAACCAACCAAGGAGACCAGCCTACCAGAAGACACTAAACGCCACTCCGGGGAGACTGTACCTTTGCTCCGGTTAACGGAACCACACTCACGGCTCGCTCTCTGGGTCTCTACCCCCCGAAGCAGCGGAGCTCCTGCCTCCAGCAGCCATCTTTTGTGAGAGAATGTACGGGGCGACACGGCGGGCCTGCTCGGGCTCTGGCCGGGGCCGGAGCCTCTTGATGCTGACAACCGCGCTGCTGCTCTCGGTTCTCGGACTGCTCTCCGCTCTCACCGAGGCGAAGGAGTGCGACAAACCGTGTATGAACGGGCAGTGCAACACGGCGACCGGCGGCTGTGTGTGCTTCCCCGGCTGGGTCGGGGACCAATGCCAGCACTGCGGAGGGCGATTCAGGTACGGTGAACACGGGGCAGAATAAAGCGGCTTTTACGGCTCACTCTCAGGCGGTGTGTGAGGTCTGTCCCTGCTGGGGCTTTGGGCCGAAGGTTTGCTGATTCAGAGGCTGAGTTGTTGTTGTTGAAAGGATGCACCTGAAGTGTTTGAATACCTGTTCACCTCCTTCACATCCTTTAATATCACATGAACCCTGAGCAGTGGACACAGCAGCTCGGTTTGACTAAACAGTCAATAGTACCAGAGTGTAAGGTCAATTATTACCATTAACTCTGTGACTAAGAGTATCTATAATTGAACAAAACCATGTGACACCCTACAGTATTTGTACACACTCTCATTTCTCATCTTGAAGGTGTTGTACTATGACCAGGGTTTGACCAGGAACTGTTACAGGGACAGGTGAGTTTCCAGTAATCTATGACAAGTGGGTAATAAACTTTTATACACTTGTGAAGAGTTCCTGGTTTGATCGTTTTATTGTAGACACTTGATTTTTTAACGGCCCTGCACTGAAAGAGATGTTGCTGTAATGTTTAGCTGACCTTTCAGGGCCTCCATATATAACTGATAATGTATAGTGAACAGGTAGTTATGCAGATCAGAAGCATGTCAAGTTGAGGAAAGGTCTTGCTTCACCTTTTAAGGCTTCTTTACAGCGCTCAGTAACTCGGAGATGCTCGTACTAGCTCTGTTGCTGGTGCCTGGATTGCAGGACAAGATTGGTGGAATTCGAGGGACCTGATTCTGCAGGATGAACCTTGCTAGTTGGATTTTGACAATGCAAATGTAGATAGAAGACATTTCTCATAAAGACTAACTACAGATGGATGCATTTGTGAAGAGTTCCTGGTTTGATTGTTTTATTGTAGACACTTGTTTCCCTATTTTTTAACGGTCCTGCATTGAAAGAGATGTTGCTGTATTGTTTAGTTGACCTTCAGGGCCTCCGTAGATAACTGATAATGTATAGTGAACAGGTAGTTATGCAGATCAGAAGCATGTCAAGGTGAGGAAAGGTCTTGCTTTCCTTTTAAGGCTTTTTTACTGTGGTCAGTAACTTGGAGATGCTCTTACTAGCCGATACTTACTGTTGCTGTTGCCTGGGTTGCAGGACAGGATTGGCCCACACATTGAGCTCATATTGGGGTTCAGCTAGTGGAATCAGAGGGACCTGATTTGGCAGAATGAATCTTGCTAGTTGGATTTTGACAATGCTAATGTAGACAGAAGAGATTTCTCATAAAGACTAACTACATATGGACGTTTGACCTTATTGTATATGCCAGAAAATCTTTGTTTTGGTCTCTTTGTGGCATCTTTGCATCCTGACCACTTCATCATACCTCGCATCATCAAGTATGCTGACCTCTGCACCTGACTGATCATCAAGAGTGCATTTATTGTTCATTATATCCTTTCTTTTCTGCGTAGTATATACTCATATTTTATCATTTTGCTGAGTTGGTTTTATCGTACGTCTTGCATCATTTTCACACCACAGAGGGAAATTATCAGCTTTCTAAATCTGGTGCAACTGTCTCTTCATTTTCTTTGCATAAATGATTAATGTCGTTTCTACAACGTCGCTGCTGAATAAATAAACTCCACATGTGCTGCAGACAGTGCTGAGAGAGAGAGAGATGTAAACAAAGGAGGCTGAGCCGGCTGCTGGATGAACCATGTGATGATATCTTCTCTGAAGCACCACAGGCATCCTGCTCTGCAGTATATGAACTTTAAACATGTGTGGTCAAATCAAATAAAGAGATGCCAACGCAAACTTATCACTGATAAATAAAGATAAGGTTGTTATAGTGCAGGACTGAAGTATCTATTAGTCGACTGAAGTTTGTGTTTTTTTTAACATTTAGATGTGTGTCATAGATTTATTAACTATGAAACAACGACTGAGGAGAAACTTTGCCAGAAAACTTGATCACTTTTTTTTCTTTTTAACAAGAAACTGAAATTTTTACCTTGATTGCAAACACCAAACATGGACTTTCCTATTTGTTTTACCACTTGAGTCCAAATCAAACAAGTGAGCCTGAAAATTTAGAGGAAGAAATTAGCAAGATCCACTTTGAATCAGATATTAACTCAGCTGTTGAAGCACAAATGGTTCTTCTATTAGCAGCCTCAGCAGGGATCAGGTTGGGAAGGAAAAGTTTTGAAGGAACTATGAACTATCTAGTCCCTGGAGCCGCTAATAAGAGGAACCTTTTTGCCCTCTCCTTTAGACTAGGTACTCTCCGAACACAAGATGGACTTTGAGTGACGTCAGTCTAGAAGTGAGCGCACATTTGTCGCACTTCTACCAACGGCTTTTTTTTAAAACCCTGCTGTCAATGTTCGCAAAATAAAAGTCGGTACAAGTTCTGAAAACCGAGGCGTCATACGCAGCAGATGCACCAGCTCCTGTACTCGATTTTTTCACAAATTTCTTGTGGTTGGCGTTTGAGCCGCCCGTCACAATGCTGGTGCAAAATCCAGAAAAAAGTCCCCATGGTCCCCATCCTCAGGGACTCTCCCAACGGCAAGTTTCCTCTCAAAAATCCCCAGAATAGTTTGATCCGAAAACACATGACTAATGACCTTCAGAGGACTTCTTCCTCTTCCACTGAAAGCTCAACTTTTCCTGCTACATCTCGTAGATTTGACATGTTTGAATCGTGAATAAATCCTTGAATTTCGATATCCTGCACTGAGCCTCAGTCTTTCTTGTTGGTCTTCCTGTGCAGGTTATCTTGACCGTAACATACTGGCCTCCTTCTGGTGCAGCAGAGCCGTCACGGTTGATGGTGAAACTGGTTAACACACAGTCAGGGGCAGAGTTCGGGCCTGAAAGCCTCCAGCTTTTCAGCTCATACGTCCAGCAGTACAATCCGGTTAAAATAACTTTCATACCACTCCAGTGCCCGACAATAAATCAATGCAGGGGAATCCCTTCAGCCTGACAGGCCTGTTGATAGACCCACACCAGCATGATATTATTGGTCCAGCTCTAATGCTCTCATACGGCCGGGCCTGCTTGTTGACTCTGTCTTAATCTGGTTAGGTGATGCTTGTATGGACGCTCTGTTGGCAGTGAGCTCTCAGGTGGAGAAGAACAGCGCGTACAGCTGCAGTGAATCCAGTTTTTATTGTTATCCGGCTGTGAATACAGGAGGTGTCGGGCTGTATCTGACCCGCAGGACCGGCTCAATGTTCAGAATCCGGTCTGGACTGGATGTCTGAGCCATGAGGTGGCTGTAAAGGTGAAACTTGTGCAAACATCTGAAGAGTTTAAAGGAGGTAGTCAATCTGTAGGATGACAGACTCGTCCTCGCTTGACCCCCAGTATGCACACATCTCTGCTTGCACTGTGCAGCAGCTCACCCTCAGTATACAGTGAGTGCACATACTGATCCTGAATGCAGAGCGAGGGTGCTGAACGAGCGTTTGCAAACACGTCTCATCTCCCTGTGTTTGTAAAAACGTCGTTTCCCATCAGAGTCAGGATGTTGTTCTCTGGTTTTAGATCTGAGAACTGTCCCGCAGCACTCGCTCCATGACAGCTCCAATCAGACCAAATGAGTTATGATTGCACTGTTGGCCGGTTTCACACGCCCCTCCGCACATCCTGCTTTGGTAACATAAACAAGTATTTAATTAGAGGAACAGCTTTTCACCCAAACTCATTTCGGCTCTTGTTCTAACATCATCATCAGTAGTGCAGCAGCAGACGTAGATGAAAGTGATGGAGGTCAAGGAGAGAGAAGCTGGAGCTCCTGCAGGTAAGATGGAGGATGGGCGTCTTGTCTTCCTGAGCGTCTCGTCCTCCTGAGCGCTCTCTGGATGGAAGAGCTCGTCTCAGAGACTACTGCACTCCAGCGTTTATTGAAACAGTCCATCACCGGCTGATAGAGTTAGCATGAAAATCATGGATGCGAGTGGAGCAGAGGGGATCTCAAGTGCTGCTGTGGAGTGTTTTCATCACCGAGCATTTGGCAACGAGTTATTGTGCAATTTAATAATAAGAAAAACAGACTTACTGAGGGTCACAAGTTCCCGTTCTGACAACATCTCATCCAGATCCTCGTTTACTTCCAGATTCTTCACCGTAAATATGAAGCTGGTTTCTCCTCTATGGTTTTCAAAGTGTTATTGAGCGAGAAGATAAAGTACAAATCACTCCCAGTGTGTGTGATGGAGACGAGTCTGAGGAGCTGGTTTATACTGGAGTCTGTCGAATGTAGATCTGAAGAACAGACTGAAGGGAGAGGAAACAAGAGGCCAGGAACTACTGGACCAGTTTGGTGATAAAACATGTGGAGCAGCAGCTCTGAAGATGGAGGAGTCACTGAGCAGAAGAATGAAGTAATACAGTCAAGAAGATGATGAAGAAGAGGTAGAAGAGGTAGGAGAAGAAGAAAGAATAAGAAAGAGATGAAGATGAAAAAGAAGGAAGAAGAAGAAGTAGGAAGAATGAAAAGATGAAGAATAAG